AATGCCCATAGGGGTTTCTTCAGCCAGATTGGTCATCTGGGCCTGTAATATCACCATGCCGATTTTGAAGAAAATCGTAGGGGCCGCCCCATTGACCGAAAATTTTCATCTTGGGTAAACTTTACCCTGGATGGGGTAATGGGTAAATTTTACCCCACCATTTTGTTTGGGTTTTCATGGGCTTTCATATGATACCCATATTGGGGGGATGCGTGCGATAGTCTTGCCAGAAATGCGTGGGTAAAAATCTCCAAGGGCGTTTTTACCCCATAGATTTCAATGCCCATAGGGGTTTCTTCAGCCAGATTGGTCATCTGGGCCTGTAGTATCACCATGCCGATTTTGAAGAAAATCGTAGGGGCCGCCCCATTGACCGAAAATTTTCATCTTGGGTAAACTTTACCCTGTATGGGGTAATGGGTAAATTTTACCCCACCATTTTGTTTGGGTTTTCATGTGCTTTCATATGATACCCATATTGGGGGGATGCGTGCGATAGTCTTGCCAGAAATGCGTGGGTAAAACTTTCCAAGGGCGTTTTTACCCCATAGATCTCAATGCCCATAGGGGTTTCTTCAGCCAGATTAGTCATCTGGCCCTGTAGTATCACCATGCCGATTTTGAAGAAAATCGTAGGGGCCGCCCCATTGACCGAAAATTTTCATCTTGGGTAAACCTTACCCTGGATGGGGTAATGGGTAAATTTTACCCCACCATTTTGTTTGGGTTTTCATGGGCTTTCATATGATACCCATATTGGGGGGATTCGTGCGATAGTCTTGCCAGAAATGCGTGGGTAAAACTTTCCAAGGGCGTTTTTACCCCATAGATTTCAATGCCCATAGGGGTTTCTTCAGCCAGATTAGTCATCTGGGCCTGTAGTATCACCATGCCGATTTTGAAGAAAATCGTAGGGGCCGCCCCATTGACCGAAAATTTTCATCCTGGTTAAATCATGCTTTTGGTTAAATTGATCGGGTATTTAACCATATCATTAGGTCCGGGGTGAAGAGATCTTTCAAATGGTGGTCTTATTTTTCAGTTTCCTCCAGCCGTTTAGGCGTAAAACGGTTTTTAGATTTTTCCCTAGATTTCTAGATTTTTCCCTAGATTTGGCAGCCCCAATCTGGGCTGGGCCGAATGTGGGCTGAATGTGGGACACGCCTAAGAGCTGGACTTTTTGATGACGTCTTCGGGTGACGTCATGTCGTGTGTGACGTTTCGTGAGCAGGTAAGGGAAAGTCACCACTGCTGGCGAACATTGGTGCGGTAAATGGCAAACACAAATGCTGCGCAGAAAAGACAAATGTGTAACTTCAGTCTTCAGACAACATTCGTTCGGACGAAACCAAGGGACGAAACAAGAAGTTGAAGTTCTTCATGCGATTGTTAGTTATCTGTCATGTATGATTGTTATTAGCAGTTGATTTGTGAAATGTATTATCAAAACCAATGTTTATTGAACGCAGATTCAGTTTATTTTCAGATGTACCTAGGTACCCTTCCTTACACTTCACTCATCTCAAGCTGTTCAAACACCCTTGACAAAGTCGATTAAGATGAAACGTTGGGTATAATTTATACTGTGTTTTCTCTGCATTATTAACATATTCATCATATATACAATATAAGGGCCACATGCTTTTTACAGGGAGACATGTCAGACAGCCCAGTAGGATGAGGCTTCGTCAAGCGTCATTTTTAGCAAAGCTTTTCTTGCTTAAAATCCAGTCTGCAAAACATGGCAGGGCTTATACTTTGGCTTACACTTGACTCCCAGCTGTTGTGTCTTTGCTATGCGATGTTAAACATATAAAACATCTTACTATTCATGTATGCGCCATGACTCATGTAATCTTTTCACAGCCAAGACGCTCCTAAGCTACTGGGAATGTGGGGAGTGCAGCAGCATCAGTGCAGCACCGATGGTCGGATACGACGGCTGCGATAAATGGTGCCACTTCCGTTGTGCGGGACTGACTAAGGAGCCAGGTAAGCGCAAATGTTTTCTGTCCCAGTATTTTTGTTGCAGCTATAGTGATCAATGAAATATTTTCCGCAGTGTTCAGCCAAACATGTATTTCAAACAATCTGCTTCCCAACCAAGGGCGTCGCCACAGGGGGGGGGGACGGAGGGGATCTCGTCCCCTCCACTTTTTAAAATTTTAACATTACGCCTATGGCGTTGCATGGAAAGAATCGACTTGAAATGGTCCTCGTCCCCTCCAAAATGGTAATGTCCCCTCCAGTCGTCGCACCGTGGCGTCGCCCCTGTTCCCAACTACACAAATTTAGTCAAACAATGTGCCAATATGGAATTTTCAGGTTCAGTTGAATGAAATAGGAACAATGATAATTGTAGGTTACGTATACCTGCAAGAGAGGAAACAGAATACATTGTATTGCTTGTCCTTCACCGATACTGTTATTTTTCCATTTCTAGAAACACCGACATGGCGATGCAGGTGGTACTGCCTGGTGAGGCCGCGGTCTCCGGAATCGCCTGCAGACGAAGTCACCTGGCGTCCATCTGCACATCACTTGCAGCAGTGAGGCCTGCTGACAGCGTCTGGCAGTGTCAGCAACGTGCCAGCCAGCTATCTGGAGTCCTGCTCACCGCAGGTCGCCGACAGGAGGGGCGACGCATCGTCTCCGAGGTCGCCTCAGCAGCAGTGAGACCCCACTGGCCGTCTTCTTAGGCTTCAACTAGATTGCGAACAACCTATGCTGAGACAACGCCCATGACGTGTGATCCGGTACCGTTACCGCACTGCGTGCCTGTGCCCGCTGTGAGCCGCTAGTGCATGGGTTCGACCATGAGAATATGTGTTTATGTTGCTTTTACTATTGTTTATACGTTGAAGTGACGAATTGTTTATTTTTCGCAAGCCTCCGCTGTCCGGTTGCCTGCAGCTCCATGCAACGCCAGCTGTACTGTTGTTTTAATGTTGTCTCTCCGCTCAGCTGTACAGTTACCTCTCCGCTCATATATGACACCTCTATATGAATGGCACTACTGATTGTCACACCCACTGTCCGTATTGTCCGTAGTGGTGTCTACGCCCATGTTAATACAGCGTGCAGAATCCAGATTCTATTGAGGAGAGTTGAGCCAAGTCACCATAGGCTCGGGAAGAGAGCAACGTGGAGGCCCACTGCCCCTTCCCCGGCCCCCACTGGGGGCGCCAGCCACTCCAACTTTTGACTGGATGTCAAGAGCGTCGCCACGAGGGGAACGAGTCGCCGGCCAGCCAAGGTAGCCAACGGCGTGTGAAGGTTGCCTGACCTCGAGGAAACTGAGATGGCACCAACGGAGGTTTTGTTAAGTAGGCGACCAAAATTCGAGCGGCAGCAACCTGGGCACCTTCACAGATAGCAGTGCCGCGTATCAGGGCGCCTTCGACGTTGAGCTGGGCGCCGATCATCAGGACGCCGGGGGAATATGACCCAATATCCCCCGTAAATATGTGTCTCGGAAGGGAGACCCAACCATAAAACTGAAAGCTCGCCGTATTTTATCCACTATTTTTCGAGCAGGTCCATAGATTTCCGTCCTCAAAAGTGCGGGGGATATTCCCCAGTGTTTGAGTTGGATGGGACTATAGTGGCGTTTACACCGACAGGAGATTCCCATTGCCGGCTGTGGGAAACTACTGTCGGTGTAAACGCCATTCATATTTCCTGCGTCACCCCTGTGGGGACGCCCTTACTCCATGGTGCCGAGCTTATCAATTTGGATATCAATGGAATCAAAATCTCTTATCGATCGATGAAGAACTAAATTACCCCGACCCGGAGAGCGTCTTTGGAATCAAAGCAGTAGCTCATGACGCAAGACTTCAGGCAAATAAATCATTCTTGTCTGAAATAAGACATTTGTGTATTGATAAGCACGTTTTATAAGCAATGGTAGCAAGATTCTCCGTGTATTTGGCTAAAGTGATAATTTAGTAGCAGATACTTACCGTCGCATTTCGTTTTTTTAATTAATAATTTATATTGTCAGAACTAGCAACATGTCTCTTCACTCAACAATAATTACAAAAGTGAAAAAGAAATGATAAATTGCTTATATTTTGGTGAAACTAAAAATTAATTCAGCACATATTTTTTTTACAGCGTTGAAGTCCAGCTCCAAAGGACAGCTGACGATCGTAGCCGAGCAGGCTGTTTGGTACTTCTTCACTACTTCTTAGAAGTACCCGTTAGTACCGATCATGTCTCACATAATAAGCTATTGGAACAAAAATATCGATGTTCTTCTAATTATTCTCCTTTCACACTTTAAATAAATACTTTTGGAATGCATTTACAAATTAATTTCACAAAAACGGCTTGAAATTTTACAACGTCAAAATACTTATTCCAATTTCCACCATGAAACCACCACTATATTACTTGCTTACAGAACCGTGCGCACAGTGCGCGCAGTTTTATCGTGACGTCAGAGGGTGCTTCCTCAGTGGCGCCCCCTGGCGGGGAACGCGTGCAAAAAGTCCAGCTCTTAGGCATGTCCCTGAATGTGGGCTAACTTCCGTTACATAGAGAATTCGGGCTGGTGTCTTTGGCGGGTCTTTGGGTAATTTCTAGGTAATCTCAACACCACTCAACACTGAATGGTGGGTGATGCTTGTATTTCGGTGATTTTTTGGTATTTAGAAGTTTAAACACGATTAAACACGATGCTTGGCCTTAGGTCGGGTGAGTCATGATATGCCGATTCTAAGTTTAGCGATCAACAATTTTCTGCTGATTTGATATTTTAATCAGCTTTTTTATATTTTATATGATTTTGTCATGCTGATGCGGTGGTCCCTGAGAATTTGTGATAACTGAGAAGCAGTATTTTGCCCATGATGCCTTAAGCCTAAGCTACACTAGCATGAATTTCGACGTTTTTTTCGGTTTCTGCGGGATTTCGGTTCGCGTCGTAAAGTTCGCCTCATAGCGAAAGCATTGCGCAAGCTACACTGCCAGTCTGGCGTCCCGTGGAACGAAAACCCGCAAAAACCGACGAGTCGGAACCGAAAAAAAGTTCAGAGCCGTGAACTTTTTTTCGATTTCTGCGGGATATCGTTCCACGCGACATTTTATGGCGCACAGCGGCATTCTTTTGTTTTGTTTACTTCTGCCTTTTTTGAAGTGACAGAAGGTTGAGTAGGTGTCAGTTTTCATCCGATTTGTGTAGATTATAGTCGTATTTTCTGTGTTAAGTTGTTCTGGATATTCACCTACCTACGCATCAGTATGGAACGTGCAATGAGAGATGAAGATGGAGAAATGAGTGGAGGTAATTTGAATGTTGTTATAATCAAATGAAAATCAATCTGTAACCTCACCCTACTAATGTGTTTCACATGAATTGAATTGTTATAATTAAATTAATTGGGTAGTTTGGTGGCTCCAGCATTTCAGTTGCACTGATGGTGTGGAAAATTCAAGGAGAAATATGAAGCTCAAGCTTTGATTTGTATTATTTTTGCACGCATTAACTAAGCACATGAAAAGAATGTGAAATCGCCCTTTGTGAAGTCTCCCGAAATTGCACCTTGGGCTCCATACTGAATGAAGACAACACCATATTGTCACAAACCAACTATCAATCTAGAACATTGTTCACATGATCATGTAAAGCTAAAAAATTAGCTACATCATGAGCAGAAATAACAAAACCTAAGCTAACCTGACCTAATTTTACCAACGTAACATAACCTAGCCTGACAACAGTAGCGGCGGAACACCTTCAATTAAGGGGGGGGGGGGGCACTGCTGACTTTTGGTCCCATTCTTTCCATGCAATGCCCATAGGGCTAATGTTAAAATGCCAGAATCAAAGGGGGGCATGGTGCCCTCCCCGTTCCGCCGCCTATGCCTGACAACATGTGGCTGGGTGTTAAGATATAAATGTTTTGTGTAAATAGTAACAATTATAAATGTGTGGTCTTATTCGTCAACCTTGGAAGGATGTGTTTTTTTCCATTTTAAGAATTAAAGTTAATAAATGGTGCAGAAGGAGAAAATCACTAAAATAATTGTTGTTATTAGGTACTGAATGTTTGACAACCTCCAGATCACTGGCATTTCTTTGTTGCAGAAATGGACTTCAACGAATCAATAATTGAAGCAGTCAGGAAGTACCCAGGTTTGTGGGACAAAAAGTCGAAGGACTATGCAAAGAAAAAGACTGTAAAAGATCTTGATTGGCAAAGAGTGGCAGCTGAGTGCAGATGTGATGGTGAGTGCTGACTGCTGGCTACCTACGCAGCTGAGGTTTTCAGTTGATATCACTTGAGCTTGCAATAATTGGTGGTTACATGCCTTGAAATGGGCTTTTTCAAGTACACTATTGAACTTAAATGGTCTAAACATCATAGTCACGAAGAAGAAAGGGTATTTAGATTGAATTTAGAAGATCAAGATACATAGAGATGCCTTTATTGATTGGTTTGGCACAATCAGTGTGTTTTATTTTGCAATATATTATACATTGATATCGATCCAGACTGGAAAGCATCAATGCACTATGCCTGACGCCTGTTAGACCCTCATCCGCTGAAAACTGAAATTCTGCGCAGTTGGTTTTGCGCCGAAATTTCTCTGTTGTTTTAGCCGACAGTTTGATGCCTGTTTGCGCCAAAATTAAGCCGTTTTTATATTCTGCACAGTGCACACCAATTTAGTTCTATTGGTGACATTTTGTTCTGTTGGATGAAATGAAATGGTAACAATACTCTCCTTCCATCATCAGTGCAAGCTGCCAAAGAGAGGTGGAAGTCTTTGCGGGACTACTATCTGGCCAGAAAAAGGAAGACTCTGCCCAGTGGATCAGCAGCACCTGCAGGTGGCCATCAGCACCTAGGACCCTATGGGAATATGCTCAGATTTCTGGACCCCAGCACCCAGCGTGGGCCGTGAGTATTAAACAGATGTGCAATATCCATACCTACTTTGTCCTCCATCCAGCCATCCTTTGACTTTGTCCATCATTCTATATTGTCACACAGGTCAGAATTGACAGTTTGTCATTGTCCTGCTGAAATATTCAAGGTAATAGTTCCATGCATAGTAACTTGGATGTACCTTTTGTTACCATGACCTCCCATAGTGTTTATTTTATATTTCTTATCACTCGATTACTTATGTTCCTTGTTCTGAAATGCAACCATGATTTCCTCCATGACTTCATCAGCTCGCCTGCCTGAAATATGTACTGAAGCCATGTTCTCTCATTTTGTACCCAATGCATATTTCACATCAGTTCCTTTCCCTTATCTGCCGAAACGTTAGTGTGTTTCTATCCAAACTTAATCATCAGAGTTAAGGAATTGCCCCATATTGATTTAACCCGCTCCAGACTGGGGAGAGGGTGGGGGTGGGGGGGGGGGTGGACAGTGGACACCCCCGAGTGGTTTTTCGCAGATATCTGAAAAATGGCCCCGCCGTTTGTCGCTACGTTGGTCCAGGAGCCGAGACTGGGTGATTTTCAGAACCCCACCCCCGCCGGTCCGGCGCGGTTTTCTCCATTCCACATTCAACGTCCCAAACCTTTCCTTATTTCCATATTTTTTCCTTTTCAGTACAACCTCATCCATGACCTTCCGGCTGGATTCACATGGAGGCGGAGATGATCCTGGAGGTGATCCTGGGGCTGAGACCAACACTCACCCTCACATCCTGTATCTTGAAGATACCCAATATGAAATTGAAGTGACTGAGGAGAACACAGACGACACACCGCACTCACATGATACAACACAAAACACATCGCGCGCTGACTACACTGAAAACACACCGCGCGCTCTGAGCACACGAAACGCACCGGCACAAAACACATCGCGCGCTCACCACACTCAGCACACAACGCGCGCTCTGGGCACACAACACACACCGGGCACACAAGGCACACGGCTCGTGCACGACACAACGCACGCTCTGGGCGCACAAAACGCACCGACACAAAACACGCAGCGCGCCCACCAGACTCAACACACAACACGCGCTCCGAGCACACAACACACACCTGGCACACAAGATACACCGTCCGCTGACGACACACACACACCGCGTGGCCAGGACACACAAGGTACATCGGATACACAAGGTACACCGCGCACCACATCGGGCACACGAAGCAAGCGCAAAACAACAGACATAGACTATGCTATCTTGGAGGAGCTAGATAGGAGCAGGAGACAACAATCTGACAGGGACTACACATTCTGTATGAATGTGTATGCTGAGCTGCAGCACAGGAGTGAGGCCACCAAAAAACTGATCAAACGTGCGTTCCAGCAGATCCTTGATGAATACGAGGACTGAAGGACACCCATAAGTCACTGAGACTGCGACGTGTTTGTATGTGTGGCTGTGGTTGATTTTTTTTTTTGTTTAACTAACTGGTGCCTTGACGTTGATGCCTACGTGTGCAGACAACCTGTTTTGCCGTATGTATCTCTATGGATATTTATTTTGTAGCTGACGACGTTTGTTATGTATTGTCCTGGCGTTTATATCCGCAGGGATGAAGGACAGACTGCCTTTTCTGCGATATTTACCTATGGCTGTTATTGTTCAATTTGGAGTTGACAACGTTTGTTTTGTCGTTGCGTTGATAGCCACAGCCCACAAGGACAGACAGCTTTCGTTAAGTCGTCTGTCCCTGTGATATAAGTTGTTCGTTTTGGTTAGCAACAGCCAACAGTAGTTTGTTGCTGACATTCATTCAATACATGGCTTTGCCGTGCTTGTTGATTGTTTTTGAGAGCAATTGCCGGTAACAGTGACATCATCTTTACGATATACACATTCAATCGTAACCATCGTCAGCTTATATTTCAAACTTCACGACACATTGAATCGATGCTTGAATCGTCAAGTAAACGGCGTGAAACAGTCAATCCGTTTCGACCAGGCACTGAATAGTTCAAAATTCAAATCATCACTTTTACAAGAACGGCACATCCAACATCATACCGCTTCTTATGCGCTCTCGCCATGGGAGTCACAGCGGCAGTGGTTACACACACACGGCGTACACGCACACATGATACACCCACAGTTCTTCACTAGCGGCGAATGCTGTTCAGCTGCCAGGGGACACTGCCGACGCCGCTGAAGTACTCGACGTACTTCTCTCGTACTTGGGCCGCCTGCTGAGGGTGATTGTGAGACGCGCCTGCGTCACGTAGGTCACGGAGACCGGGGATGTCTCGTCGCTCTTCAGGCGTGACGTAGCCGTAGGCCGCTGGCCCTCCACGTCTGGTCTCGATGTCCTTCTCTCTCAGGAAGTTATGCAGGACGCAGGTTGCCAGGACGATGAGTTTAACGGCCTCCACGTCACACCCGATCGGACCCCGGAACACCCGCCACCGTTGTGCGAGGATCCCGAACGCGTTCTCGGAGGTCCGACGGGCGCGGCTGAGTCTGTAGTTAAAGACACGTCGTTGGTCGTTCGTCAGGCGCGACCCAGGAAATGGCCTCATCATATGTTGCCGCAGCGGAAAAGCCTCATCTGCCACGAACACGTGAGGCACGGTCACTGCGGAGCCAGGGAGCGGCTCTGGGCCTGGCAGAACAGGCGGCCCGCCGTTGTCTTGGTCCTCCAGCAGCCGACCCAGGTCGCTTCCTCCCCACACTCCCCCGTCACTCTCCTGACCGTGGCTGCCCACGCTGATGTAGCGAAAGCGACACTTCGCGTCCACCACAGCCATCAGCACGATGCTGAAGAACCCTTTATAGTTAAAGTTCATTGAGCCACTGTTGGCAGGCTTGTCGACCATGATATGCTTTCCATCAACCGCCCCACAGCAGTTGGGAAACTGCCACTCCTCCTCGTAATCCAGGGCGTGCTGGCGCCACTGCTCGGGCGACGGTAGCCCCATCAGCCCTGGTCCGAGCTCCTCCCAGATGGCGCGGCATGTCTCAGGGACGATCAGGCGGATCGTGGCGAAGCCTATGCGGTAAGATTCTGCCACAGACTTCATAGTCCCACCTGACGCCAGGTAACTGCAAAAGGTGTACACATATGTAGTAATTAAAAAATGTCAGTCCTTTGTTACGTCATTGCGCCTATGTCATATTCGTAATTAGTCGATTGGAAATTGAGGCACCTTTTCTGGTTATGCAAGCTTATGTGTTTCATTGAGAATTATACGCGCATTGAAAGTATGAAGAGGCTTCAGGTCTTACCGCAGCGTTGCCGCCAGGCGCTCTGCTGCCGAGATCGGCTTCCTCAGGTGCGTGATCTCCTTCGTGATGACGGGCTCGATCTTGCCGAGCACCTCGTCAAATTCATTGACGCTCATCCTGAAGTAGCGCCGATGGCCCTCAGGATCATTCTGGCGCAGTTCCTGTACTAGCGTGTGGAACTCGCCGCACTCTTCTCGGCGCAACAGCACCGGGCGAACCCACAGGCTTCGTCGCTGTCTCTCGCGTTCACGGCGCAAAAATAAAACTCTTAATAATGTTTGACGATCCATTTACTGCGGCTCAACTTCAACAGATCAGACAATACGACGTACACAAATGCGGCTGCTGCATAGCACGCATTCGCAGAGGCCGCTCCGATTGGAACGAAAAAACGCAGAAACCGAAAAAACGCAGAAACCGAAAAAACGCGGAAACCGAAATCCCGCAGAAACCGAAAAAACGTCGCTAGTGTAGCCTGAGCTTTAACCAGTCCAGTGGTAACTGGCAGGTACGGCACAGCTACCGCAATGTTAAGTGAGGTGCCAGTAGTGGTTATAAGCTTTGGTCTGTATCTTAGGAGCTATCTACAGTGGCGGATCCAGGGGGCAAAATGGGCATTTGCCCCCCCCAAACGGCATAATTTTAACATTACGCCTATGGACGATGCATGGAAAGAATCGATAAATTGTTATGGTTTGCCCCCCCCCCCCCAAAACTCTGAGCTGGATCCGCCTCTGGCTATCTATGATACCACCATGAAACTTGGAATGTAGCTTACAAGTGTCACCCTTGCAGCTCATATTTTGCTGGCTTCTCTTGATCACTCATCAATATTTAAAGATTCACAGTTAAAGCCATCTCAATCTGTTGAGATTGGTAGAACCTCAAATTACATAAGCAGTGGGCTGTAACTACCTTGGATTCTGCGCATCTGATATTGGAAGCAAATTGAAATCCAATTTGCTTCCAATATGCAAATATCTCTGCATGAAAAATTCCATCCCCACTCACAATGCAGCATCCATCTAAAACATCTTCTTGGCTTCAGCTTGGTGGCTGTGGAGTGTGGCAGTAACACTGACTGAGTTCCTAACATTGACTTGTGGTAAAGTCTGTTTCTGTGATTTAGATCAATGTGATAACTGAGTATTTCAATGAAATTATCAATTCAATTTTACTGATACTACCATCTAAATTGTTTTTTTTTTTTCAAGCTTCAACTCTACTTTGTGTGTGCCATCTAATTGTTTTTTTTCAAGGTTCACCTCCACTTGTACTGCCCAGACATGTCATTGCTTGTTTACAACTGCTTCAAACTAAGCGGCTTATATGCTGCTTATTCAATTCACATCCCTGTGTATTTTCTCCCTTTGAAATTGTTGCACACCTATTTACACCTAACATGTTTAGGAAACAAGGAATATTTTATGTAAGCATGTTTGATAAATTTTTGTCATTTAAGGTCTGTCTTCTCTGTGCTCAAGAGTATCGAAAGCTATGAGTGCACCTGTGTCCAGTGATCTGGCTGAGCGTCGGCGCCAGTACAGCTGCGGCGACCGTTATGTGCCGCTCTCGGACATACCGAGCTGGCTCGACTACAATCGCCAGAGGACCAGCGCCGAGTCGTTGGTGACCAACAACCCGCTGGCCGAGCGGGTCTCGTTTTGGCGAGGCGACATCACGGCGCTGGAGGTGGACGCCATCGTGAACGCGGCCAACAAGTCGCTGCTGGGCGGCGGCGGTGTGGACGGCGCCATCCACCGGGCGGCCGGGCCCGAGCTCAAGGCCGAGTGCGCCACCCTGGGCGGCTGCGAGACGGGCGACGCCAAGCTGACGGCCGGCTACCGGCTGCCGGCGCGTCACGTACTGCACACGGTGGGCCCGGTGGGCGAGCGGCCCGAGCTGCTGGCCTCCTGCTACCGGCGCTGCCTGGAGCTGGCGCGCCAGCACCGGCTGCGCTCCGTGGCGTTCCCGTGCGTGTCGACGGGCGTGTTCGGCTACCCGCAGGAGGCGGCCGCCACTGTGGCGCTGCAGACGGTGCGCGAGCAGCTGGAAAAGGACGCCCAGCTGCCCGAGCGGGTGGTGTTCTGTCTCTTCCTGGAGGAGGATGTGGCCGCTTACCTGCGTCAGCTGCCCGTCTTCTTCCCTGTCAAGAAGTGAACGCTGTGTAACGACTAGGACGAGTCCCAGTGATACCGACACCCGTTCACGAATCTGCTCGTTGTTAGTCGTGCTGCTGCCTGTGAGAAGTATCTTTGATCGTTTTTACTTTTAAAACGGGCAGTGACTGTTACACTCTGACCAGTGTCCAATGGACTTTGCGGAGCGTATTTGATACAATAATCAAAATGGAACTCTGTAACCGAATTCGTCATGTTATATTTGGCTGTTACATTTTTGCTGTGCCAATTTTGCTGGGATGACTGTTCAGGCAATGGCTGTTTCTTCCGCGTGGTATTTGTCAAGTCGTTTCACAGTTCGCCTCTAGAGTGAATGATGCGAACGAAGCTATGTTGCATCAGCTTTGAGCTATGGCGGATGGCGGCTGTATCTTCCAACGGTCTGCTGTTGTTACTCTGCTAGTAACCAGAACTGTAACGTTCAGAGCTTATTCGAGCCGGTGAGTGAGACCGGGCGTCAGTGGGAAATACCCCGCATCGGTGCAGTACCGAACCCCATTTCGGAAGCAGTTGTTATGGCGACGCTGTCACGATGACGTGTCGTGTAACGAGACTATTCAATGTTTCGGTCGACAGAGTGCTGCTTCTGTCATTGCTGTGTTTTACTGATGCCGCTCGTTGCGTCAATGATGCGCTGTGTTTTGAGGCTATCGCATCCGGTGGGCTGGGACGGACTGTTTTGTAAATAAACGTATCAGTCTCAGACTCGCAACTATATGTAATTAATTGCTGTTGCGCATACGCACTGTCGCAAAAGGCTACTCTTACTCCAACGACACCGTGGTAGTTCCGTGCCACAGCTCTGCGTTTATTTTGTTTTGTTATGCATGATACTCTTGCCGTTAGCAATAATATCACGCTAAACTTCCTCACAAATTTGTAACATTAGAGTTTTAATTAATGAATAATGCCGAACGATTCGCATCCAGAGACACGAGGTAGGTACCGTCTGCCGTCAACGTCATAGTCAGGGTAGTGAACATTGCGGCACAGCATAACAGATAACTGCAGGCGCTTAACTTTTTACTACTGCCATCCAGGCACGAGAGGTGAGTCTCTGAGCACTGCGGTACAGCATAACTGCAGGCGTTTTACTGCTGCCATCTAGGGGCGTGAGTTGGAGGCTCTGTGTGCTGCGGCACAGCATGACCACAGGCGTTTCACTCCTGCCATCTAGGGGCGTCAGTTGAAAGCTCTGAGCACTGCGGCACAGCATAACTGCAGGCGTTTTACTACTGCCATCTAGGGGCGGAATGGGAAAGCTTTGTGCATTGCGGCACAGTATAACTGCAGGCGTTTCACTCCTGCCATCTAGGGGCGTCAGTTGAAAGCTCTGAGCGCTGCGGCACAGTATAACTGCAGGCGTTTTACTACTGCCATCTAGGGGCGGAATGGGAAAGCTTTGTGCATTGCGGCACAGTATAACTGCAGGCGTTTTACTGCTGCCATCTAGGGGCATCAGTTGAAGGCGTCTGAGCACTGCGACTGCCGCAGTGCGGCACAGCATAACTGCAGGCGTTTTACTACTGCCATCTAGGGGCGGAATGGGAAAGCTTTGTGCATTGCGGCACAGTATAACTGCAGGCGTTTTACTGCTGCCATCTAGGGGCATCAGTTGAAGGCGTCTGAGCACTGCGGCTGTCGCAGTGCGGCACAGCATAACTGCAGGCGTTTTACTACTGCCATCTAGGGGAGGAATGGGAAAGCTTTGTGCGTTGCGGCACAGTATAACTGCAGGCGTTTTACTGCTGCCATCTAGGGGCGGCAGTTGAAGGCGTCTGAGCACTGCGGCTGAGTGCGGCACAGCATAACTGCATGCGTTTTACTGCTCAGCCATCTGGGGCATTAGTTGAGGGCTCTGTGCGCTGCGGCACAGCATAAAGCAGGCGTTTTACTACTGCCACCTAGGAGCGCTAGTTGAAGACTCTGAGCACGCGCTGCGACACAGCATGATTGCAGGCGAATTAAAAAAGTAGGTTCTGGGGAATTCACCATCATCTGCTTCTTTCGCTGAAAACGTTCGTCCAAGCAGCAAAATCGCCTTTTTTCGACAAAATCTAATTTCGAGCGCAGTATTGTCAATCAAACAGGTGCAGTGCATGACGCTGAGCCATGCAGCGTTAACTCCGACACCGGAGTCCGAGTCGGTAAGATATTGGTGACTCCGACTCCGACTCCGACTCTTGGCAGAACTGTGTACTCCGACCGACTCCGACTCTGACTCCCCAGCCCTGCTTATGAGTTATTGAATTGATGTCTGATGAGGATTAGGTATTATTTTTAGGGGCATTGCTTTACTTGTGGTTTCGCTATACAAATAATGTAATATCTACACACATCAACTGATCTAGATTTCCCTCCATCGTATTACACTTAATGTACGCTGCTGACTGCACTCAAAAGTCATTACTCATCTCGTCTAAACAGCTACTCCACGTTCGCCCTCAAAACTATTTGCCTTTGTGCGTGAGTTAAAACATCTAGCGCGAGCACCACTGGTCAGATGGCTCGGGCAGCTGTGTGGATATAGGTATAACATTGGAGAAGGATGGCCTTCGTCTGCGGCCGGGAGACGGATCGATAACTGGTGGTGTATGGTGGGAGGGAACAGGGAGGGAGGGAGGGGTGAGTCGCCGCACCTGTGCGGTGGAGCTGAGGTGACACAGCGCGGCACCGTCCTGCCGAGACCGGTCGCCAGACATCAGGACTGCTCTGAAGGCGGTGAGTTTGCCAAGCTGGCCCACTGCACTGGCCGAGACGTTCATTTTTTTTTTACACAAAGCGATATCTGCATTCCACACGCTTATTTTTTCTGCAGAAGGCTAAAATCCTTTTAACCGATGTCCCGACGGAGTACGATCTACTTTCTAAGACACGACTGTTTCTGAATCTATCTATCATTTAGTCCATTTCCTATGGCTTGGACTAACGAAAGTTACGAATTCCGAGTTATGGCTTGGAGTTCCGATTCGAAAGCACGTAGGTATAGTTGCATCTACGGATTCGACTTTCGGATGGCTGATGCGTTATGTCGCGTTTCCACACACTGTAACGAGTGACATGCATATGCACAATGCACATACACATATACGCCGTGAGCCGACCCGGCATTTGCTAATGCTCGACAGCCCAGTCGCCCTCGCCAGCCGCCCGAGCCACTCAGAGACGGTGCCATGTGCCAGTGCTCGTTGACGTGCCACGACCTCAGCCTCTGGCACCTGGAGCCCTGGCGCTTCGTCACCACAAGTGTAAGTGCGCCCGACCTTGTCCCAGCCTTAGCAATTAAACCACAAAACGCAAGTCCTATTGTTTCGTCACTCACAGGGTTGGCGAATAGCGCACCCGCTGACCGGTATTACATTCATTCCGGTAGTCCTTTTCAATTTGTACCCATGGGTCATTTCATGCTCAGTCATGTTAGGTACTTGGCAGAAGGCATTCGTGTAATGCCTTCCTAGTAAATGTGAATGCGATTAATGTGAGTTCTGAGGCCCGGCTCGGCCGCGTTGTTACAGTGGCAGTACCCCAGTCGCCGCCATTACAGCTACGTCTGTTACCGGATCACGGTCGCCTTGTTCTTCTTCGTCTGGACAATTATCGACATGGCCACCTATGGACCGGGACCGGTACGTGGCCGATGACCGAGGTACCGAGGCAATATACCTATAGCCCGACCCGCTCGTCATGGAAGATACTGACATTGTAGGTACGGCTGAGCTGACACAGAAGATACCGATGGCGTACCGTTTACCGGTACAGATACAAATTAACCGACAAGAATAACTAAACTTTTCCTTAGAGAACAAAGCTCGGAGAGTGAGAGAAGAAATTAAAAAATCAAATATTAATTCCCTTCATTGACCAAGTACAGTTTGTTGATATCACTTTGTCTCTGTCTGTTTACGTTTGTGTGTACCTTTGCAGAAGTCTCGCTGGATGATCCACATCACCAACTGGAGCAAGCTGCTGATGCTGATCGAGGTGGTGCTACAGGCGTCTCTGACGGCCCACTTTCAGCTGTGGAAGCTACGGCGCCGCCCACCTGGTCAGTGGCGCTCATTAGAGCCGCGACTATCGAATGACACCGTTCGCTTGATAAAGCATTGGGCCACATCGGCCAATCATCGGCCAAAAGCACATCAATTTAGGCATTGCTGATCGCATTTCTTGACAATGATTCTATGGGAAAGTTTGATACACAAGAAAATAAATCGGCTCTGTTACGGGTATCATAGTAACATAGGACCATAGGACATCCAACGCAACGGCTCCCTTATGCCGATTGTATCGTACCAAGGAGCCGGTCCCTTGGAGCTGATGCCCGTCTATCTCACGCCCTTTTCCCCATGCTCACTACTCTTCTAGGGACACCGGCGGTGCACCAGGTCAGCTTCAACCCCCTGCTGCGATTCTTCTACGCCGCCGAGTGGCTCTTCACGTCCGTCAGTGGTGTGTTTGCCATTGTGACTGTGTTCGTCTCTTTTCTCGGTAAGTAGTTGCAAGGAAATGCGAGTTTTTTATGTTAATCGATTTGGTAAGTAGCCGCGAGGATATACGAATTATTAATGTTAACCGATGTAGATAAAAAGTTTACGGTGGTGTATTCAATCTACCGAAACTAAACCCTCAACGCAATGTACGAGATTAAGCAGAGAGTACGCATGGGAAGCCGCAAACGTTGACTGGCGATCAGTACCTACCTGAGCAGTGAGCCGCATCTCCGGTGACTGAAGCGCCGCCTCGAGGATCGATGTGTAAAACAAATGAATAAGCAGCAAGATAATGCATCTTAATTGCCGAACGGCTCAAAATTCACTCATTATCTCCATAGTTATACACTACTCCCGTACTAATTGGCGTTCTCAAACTGTTCGCAGCGAATAACGGCGGCGCGTTCGGGACTGCGCGCTACTTCACTGGGCTGCTGTACGTAATCGCCGATCATCTGCTGCACAACCAGCCCAAGCACATGCTGCACGTCTTCTACGCGCTGTTCCTGCACGTGCTGTACATAGTGTTTGAGGCGGTGTACGTGCTGGCGGGCGGCACCACGCCGAGCGGCTCGTCGGTGATCGACGGTCTGGACTGGAGCCGTCCGGAGACGGCCGGCTACGTCAGCCTGTCGGTGGTGCTGGTGCTGGCGGCGCACGGCGGCCTCTGGCTGCTGGCGCGGCTCCGCGAGCTGCTCTACAGCTGCGTCAGCGCTGACCACGCCATCAAACTGCCGCTGACCGGCGGCGCGGACAGTCAGCAGGCGCTGGCGCCGCCCTACGGAGCCACCAGACACGACCCGGAGGGCGGCAACATCAGCCCGGCGCCCGAGGTCAGTGTGGATACCATAAACCCAAACATTCAGCCCGGTGCCTGAGGTCAGTCCCGATAACACGAACCTACCAGCTCAGGGCGGCAACATCAGCCTGGTGCCTGAAGTCAGTCCCGATAACTTGAACACGAATATTTAGTCATGGCCCCAACGCCGGTGACTATATTACCAGTATAGCGCCTTTTGGGGCGACTAACGGAGCGAGCGAGGGGGTGAGCCTTGCACGTGCGAAATTTCGAGGGGGTACCTCCAACTGACTTGTGCACGGCACCCTACTAACCGGTCTCTAGCGATGTGCCAAATTTGAGCGCAATCGGCCCAGCCGTTCTCGAGATCTGGAAGCGGCACCCTGCACGTGCGCACGTGCAAAATGGGTCCCAACTGACATGTGCACGGCACCCTACTAACTGGTCCCTAACCGTGTACCAAATTTGAGCGCCATCGGTCCAGCCGTTCTCGAGATCTGGAAACGACCCTTGCACGTGCGCACGTGCAGCAGCACCCCAACTCTGGCACATGGATATGCAGTGCCTAGTGGGTGCCTACCTACATGCCAACTTTCAGCGCAATCGGCCAAGTAGTTACCGAGATATTGCAACAATTACAAAACGGACACCTCTTCGTTTTGCACGTGGCACGTGCATAAGGGGTCACCCACATGCATCGGGAGTAGTCCAATACTTGGTAGAAGGAATGAAGCTACCCTACAAAAATTACCCCATGTAAATCGGTCAAGTGGTTGCTGAGATATAAGCCTCGCAAAAGCGTCCGCACGGCCGGCCGGCCGGCCGGCCGCTCATACTCAGAAATTTCCGTTAATCTAAGGAAAGACTACGCTCGCTTCGCTCGCTCCGTAATAACCATGGCATTAAATTCGACGCTCGACATTAGTGCTTGCATCACATGCTCAGTACTCAATGCGCCACGTTTATCGCCACGTTACCTATATATGCATTCCGACGACCAAAATTTTGCGTCCTTATACGCATGGGTAAATTCAGTCCCAAGGTTGAGACGGTTCCCGTAAGTAAGTACATATAACCCCGTTCTGCTGTCATTTCAGTCCTATAACGGTGGTGGAAGCTCGGAGCCGGTCAAAGTCACCGGAGAGCCCTCAGAGTCCGGTGGACACAGCCCTGCCTCTCACCAGCCGTCACGCTCTGCTGACCATGGCGGCCACCCGAGCTCCGACAGCCGAGCGCCCGAGACAGGCTGGAGGGAGGGAGTTCCCGTGTCACCCGAAGGCTCGCAGCAGCCGCACTGAAACCACCGACAGGCCCTTGGGGAAATATTTGAATCTGACGCATGTTGGAAAATGACCACAGTGACGGAGCAAAAACGGTACGGGATTTGGAGAAGACGTGTAGGCTATACGATGGACTCATCTGATCAGATGCACAAGGCTAAGATAGCAAAAAAGGTCCCGACTCCCGACCGCTTCCTGCCTTTTTCCACCGCCGTTCGCCTCAATGAAACACCAACACAAGTAGTACACAAACCTTGCGGGCACTAACGGGAGTGGGACTCGAGGCTTAGCGATAGGTATGCCTAATGCCTTAACATTGTTTATTGGCCATTGACCATACTGACTATTCCGAGACGTCAGCTGCGAGGAATGTCTTCGTTATTGCCGTGTGGACTGGGAATTCTTCCAATTTCCATTTTCCTTTCATCCCATTTTTTTTTGTGTGTGTACCCTCACGGCTCACCTACGGGACTGTGTTGATGTGCAGGACAGGCATTTTGTGGTCTTTGGCCCAACTAGCTCGACTAACGCGATGTCGTACGATACCATGCACGTTTAGTTTCTGTGCTAGCATTTGGGAGCACAAAGGATTAGCCTATCAATCTCGGGCAGCCAGGAAGGTAAAAGGAAAGGAAGGCCGCACACCGTCTCTGACTTGTACGTTACCTACGTAACCATAAACCAACAGGCAACAGAGCGGAGCGTTTGCCGTTGCCCGTTTTAGCGCGACTGGAGTTGGACTACGGAATTACGTGATACGCAGTTATGCACTGCTACGCCCCAGTTTCGCTTCACTTTCTGAGACACCAAATAGCCTGTTGTTATCGCTTGAGAAAACACTTGTTACGAGCGAGCGAGCGCAGCGAGCGAAGTGAGTCTTTTCAATATAACGGAAAAATCTCAGTATGAGCGGCCCGGCCCGGCCCGGCCCGGCCCGGCCCGGCCTGTAACGCTTTTGAGAGGCTTATATCTCAGCAACCGCTGGACCGATTGGCCTGCGGTCTTTTTTGTTGGGTAGCCCCATCCCTTCTACCCCGTAATTGACTACTTTTGATACATCTCAGGCACGTGCCACGTGAAAAGTCAAGGGTGTTCAAGCTGTTTTGCAAAAGTAGTGATTTTGAGAGACTCATATCTCAGCAGCCGCTTGGGCGATTGACTTGCGGTATATTTTGTAGGGTAGCAGCATCCCTTCTACCCAAAATAGGATACTCTCGATGTATGTGGGTCACCCCCAGTGCACGTGCAAAATACAACAATAAGAGGTGCCAAATTTGTTCCCATTTCAGTAACTCGGTAATTACTGGGGCGATTTCGCTGAAACTTGGCATACAGGTAGGCACCCACCAGGCAATGCTTTCCCATGTGTTGCGATTAGGGTGCTACTGCACGTGCGCACGTGCAGGGGGCGTTTCCAGATCTCGAGAACGGCTGGGCCGATTGCGCTCAAATTTGGTACACGGTTGGGAACCAGTTAGTAGGGTGCCGTGCAAAAGTCATTTTGGACCCCGTTTGCACGTGCGCACGTGCAGAATGCCGCTTCCAGATCTCAGGAACGGCTGGGCCGATTGCGTTCAAATTTGGCACACCGCTAGCGACCGGTTAGAAGGGTGCTTTGCACAAACCTGTTGGAAGCACCCTCTCGCCCTTCCGCACGTGCAGGGCTCACTATCTCGCTCGCTCGTTCTTCGCCCAAAAGGCGTTTTACTGGTTTTAAAACATTTCAACAACGGTGTCCAGTGAAACTAAATACCTACCTAGCTAAGGAGGAACTGGTGGGCTCATGCGTCGGCCACAGTAGATGGCATAGTGCTCCACAAACGACTACGATAAAAAAGTCTTACCAAGTTCTTACCGTACATACCTTCAGAACTGTTATTTTCGTTCACTTTTAGTGTGCTGACGTTTCTAATGCATGCTAGATATATTGTACACTGTCATCTGTACTGTGATTATGTGGAGGTATAATAAATTGGGTTAAAATATCCGAGTGATATTGAAGACGTGGTTCGGTCCTCACGCGTGATGATGCTGTTTTTCACATTTCTTATTTATTCACCTTGTTTGTTCGATAATATTGTTTCGTTGATTTTACGTTTACCTATTGTTGAGTGTGCGTATTATTGAGATGTGCCCCCAAAAATGTCATTCCGCTCACCTAAGTACGGACCTTGGGGCTATCATACGGAGTCGTATCCTGAGCTGGTTTGTCCCTCCATCCTATAGCTGACCGTCTGTTGCGTAGGTAATTGGGCCGGCTATCGGTAACCTGACCGTTTGACCTCGGGGTCAATAGTGACGCATGGCGACTGGTACTGAAATAAAGGCTGTGCAGGTGGTCAGTGTTTGATTTGGACAAGGGTTTTTGGACCGTTTGGAGTTTGGACAGGTGTGTGGTGGTGATGGGACACCCAAGATTACTTTACTACTCAGTGGGGAGTGGCGACACCGCTCGTTTACGGCGTGACACTGACATATGTACAGCCCTCTGCAAACTGCGTGGTAGGTATTCTTTTTTCGACAAAACCTAGAATAACGCGAATACTATGATATCGGTCACTCGGAAATCGTAACAGCAAGATGCGCGAGACTCATCACCCTATATTGGCATTATGGGTGTATTCCTTTTCCACCGAGTTTGGCAACAAAACCCAAAAGTGTATATTTGCCTCCAAAACAAACTTTTGCATTGTGTTGCCACACAAAGCGTATACTTCGATTAGTGATAGACCTAATTGAAGGAGGGGAGCATGGCGCATCTATTTTCAGTGAGCTCCGACCGACTGATAACATAGCCTTTGAGTTATTATCGGTTTTATCGGAAAAAGAATACCTACCACGCAGTCTGCTGAGGACTGTACGTCCTAGTCTCTGCTATATACAGGGTGTTCCATAAGTTCCTTCTCACCTATATTTTTCTTTTATAGGCTCTCTTATTTAAAGCCACGCTTAATTTATTTTGTAATTGAGCTTTTGGGGTTGCCATGGCAACTGTAAATATGCTCCACGGTAACTAATTCGTCTAGACAAAATATTTTTTGCTAGAGAGCTCACTTCCTGTGGAGACGGCTTACGCCGCAACATAGAGGTCTCCGATACGGGTACGTCTCGGTATTTAGTCCGCATGTGGGCCATTCGCGACGGTTGAGGGTGATTGAGGCCATCCAGTCTGCAGCCAATGTCTGTCGCTAACTGGACGCACAGTCAGCAAGTGACGCCGATGATTTGTCGGGAGTCAATCGCTGCAAGTTTATGCTCTTATTTGTCAGCTCTCAGGAGTGAGCCATGTGGCCAAAACTGTGTGGCGCCAAAGTGGCCGTCAAAAAGGTATTAGCGTTAGAAAGTTGGTAAGCAGGCTTTTCAGGATGGATTACCAGCTGTCTAAGAGTATTATTTCGGGGTACATAACTCACGGTCACTTGGGCTCACTTGGGAGGACGCAAAGCAGTCGAAAATGTCTTAAAATGGCCAAACATTTGTTTCGTTATGCCTGAGGCTAAAAAACTGGAGGGCCGATGACATCAATGTGGTCGTCTGGACTACCTAGTCCTTGTTCGAGATAAAACACCCGTCCAAACCCCAAAACGGTCCCATATGGGCGACGGAAAAGGCCTTCGTGTCATCCCGCTTTATTCCTATGCAAAAGGCCAGGGTCACGGTAATGTGGAGTAATATGCGTCCAGACGCTGGAGCAGGTTTGCAGTCCAAACGTCTCCAGAAACAGTGTTGGGACGCAGAATGCTTCACCAAGAAGATCTAGGAGGAGTTTCAGCCTTCTAGCTTAACTCGAACCGCAAGCATGAACACATTTTTGGAGGAGAAAATGGCATCCGGGAGGTCGTAGTCCCATCTTCAAGCAAGACAGTGCATCAGTGCAGAGATCAAGCAAAGCTTAACCCGCGCCCTGATGGGGGGGGCATTTTGCCCCCCCCCCTGTGGTTTTTCTTAAATAGCGAGAAAACAGCGGGGCGCAGCGCCGCCAAATTTTCAGTACCTTACCAGGCATCAATTTGACACATTCACACAAAATTTCAAGTCACAGCCTCACAGGTCACCTCAGGTCAGGAGTTATTGAGGTCAAACTGAGATGTTCGAGTAAAAATGAGCAAAAAACATGACATCTTGAAACGCTCACCAATTCTACAGTTAACAGGCAAAAGTTCTTTATTTGGTTGTGTAGAGAAAAGACGGCGCTACAAAACTGCTATCTCAGATTTTCGAAGTTTTTGGATTTTGACCCCAAAATAAAAAAAAATGATTTTTTTAGAAAAGCTAAAAAAAAATCCCAAAAAATTCGAATTTCGAAAAAAACGGAATGTATGTGATAGTCCCTGCGATCTTCGATATACATACCAAATTTTAGATCGATACCTCTTTTTTGGCCAAGTTATAGCGAAAATACTGTTAAAAATTGATGACGTCAAATTTTTAAACTCAATTTTTAGCAATTTTAGACCTCGTAGCGCAAAACGGAGACCACCATTGAACTCCCCGTGACGAGCTGCATCGAATTGATACCCATTTTATGCAAAAATATCAACTTTGAAATTTTACCTAATTTGACCTGACCTTGACCTGACCTTGACCAAAATGTGACCTAAGCTGGCCCAAAAGTCTGCCTGACCCGCATAATCGCATTTGTCATGTAAAATGGACCATAAAACATGTATCACACGGCACGTTCATATTGTGACCCCCCAGTGACCTGACCTCTGTGACCTGACCTGGTATCAGTGACCTCAAATAGCAAAATATGTGTTTGAAGAACATTTCCCCATCGATGATTTTCAATGAAATGCATTTTACTCGATTTTACAACGCATTTCTTGAAATGCCTGTAAACGGTGAAAATTCGACCTTTGACCTGACCTGTGACGTCACCGGTTTGACCGAGGTCAATGAAATTGGGTCACAAGGTAGTTCCCCGTTGGGGCTATCCAACGCCGTTTACTGCTTGTCGCTATGTTGCGTGGTTCTCGAGATCTTAGGGGGGGGGGCAAAATGCCCCCCCCCCCATCAGACCGCGTTGCTCGGCAGACCCCATCAGGGCGCGGGTTAAAAGCAGTGTCAGGAGACTGTGATAGGCGTGTGTGGCAAGATCACATCCCAGCCCCCAGGCAACTCATCGGATCCAAATTTCATAAAAAAAAAATTTGTTGGAAATATTGCAATCGAGGCTCGTCGAAGCGAAGCGCTGTTCCAGCCTCGAGGAGCTCACGGCGCATGTCAAGTCAGTCTGGGCTAACTTCAAGCTTGCTATGCTGACACACATGCCGGTTGGCATACCGCAGCATGTATCCATGTGTTTGACTATGAAATGGGGAGCACATAGAGGGGTCATAAACATATCAAAACGCAATGTACTCTGTTTTACATGCAAATATAATGTGAGAACGAACTTATCCCGCGCCCCGTAGGGCTACGGCGGACCCTACCACCCGTAGGGGGGGGGGGGGCGTTTCGGCCCCCCTAAGATCTCGGAAATTTACCGGCCGATTTTCAAAATTCAAACGGCGTTTGATAGCCCCACCCGGGAACTACCTTGTGACCAAATTTCGACGTCACAGCCCACAGGTCAGGTCAAAGGTCAGATTTTCACCGTTCACAAGCATTTCAAGAAATGTGTTGTGAAATCGAGTAAATTGGTAATTTATTGAAAACCATCGATGGTACATTGTTCGTCAAACACATACTTTGGTATCTGAGGTCACTGATACCAGGTCTGAGGTCAGGTCACAGCGAGGTCAGGTCACGGGGGTCACAATATGAAAGTGTCGTGTGATACATGTTTTATGGACCACTTTACATGACAAATGTGATTATGTGGGTTAGGCAGCCTTTGGGGCCAGCTTAGGTCACGTTTTGGTGAAGGTCAGGTCAAGGTCAGGTCAAATTAGGTCAAATTTCAAAGTTGATATTTTTGCATAAAATGGGTATCGATTCGATGCGGCTCGTCACGGGGAGTGTAATGGTGGTCTTTGTTTTGCTCTACGAGGTCTAGAATTGCCAAAAATTGAGTTTGAAAATTTGACGTCATCATTTTTGAACAGTTTTTTCGCTATAACTTGGCCAAAAAACAAGGTATCGATCTGAAATTTGGTATGTAGATAGAATACGGTAGGTACTATCACATATATTCCGGTTTTTCGAAACTCAAAAAACTTTTTGGATTTTTTGGCTAATATATAAAAAAGGATTTTTTGATTTTGGGGGGTCAAAACTCGTAAATTTCAAAAATCCGAGATAGCAGTTTTGTCGCCCTGTCAATTTTACACCTTTTATGTCTTGATCATTTTTCTATATCTTCAAAGCTGTAGGCCTGACAGGTCTTCTCGCGAAGGTCTTTTTTCGGTCGAAAATGACAGAACATGACGTCATTCTGACGTCATTTGTGGCCAACCTATCATAGCCTCTGGGAAAATTTTTGGTCATAATGTGTAAAATTGATGCCCGGAGGGGTCCTGAAAGGTTAATGGCGATATCTCCAGCCGTTTACGAGATATCGACCGAAAAGGACAGGGGGGCCGTTTCGGCCCCCCTACGGGGCGCGGGATTTATGGGACACCCTGTAGGTCAATATCCTCATCGGACTGCAACTGTAGCAGCCAGGGCATATGTGACAAATATTATTTGCTGCAGATTGCAGGCACCGGTTTAGGCATGTAAATCACTTAGAACACTTCATAAAGGTAATAAATATTTTTATATCATTTTTTTTTTCTTCAAATGTGGCTTCTCAAATATCTAACTCCTGTGTGATTGACGAACGCACCAATTTCCGTCCATTCCATCCATTCAAACATTCGAGCTAAATTTATAAAAAAAAAAAAAATTATTTGGCCTGCAAACTGGCGCTTTGTCGGGTAAATACTGCGCACAAAAGTCGTCGAACGCGTGTGTGCCGCCGGGGGCTTTTCTTTTGTTAAAAAAGTTACTTTTGTGCTGAAAAGACTAGTCCATAAGATAACAGTTACTTAATACTGGTACTGATATATGATTACTAACCGATATATCTCGTCCTTTTATTTGCTGGTTGTCCTGTTCGTTGCCTGTCTGTCATTGATTATCTTCATCAAGTTCAAGTTCAAGTTTCAGTTGAGTTTCCCACAAAGACAAAGAGATTCCAGTGAAGTGCGATATGATGTTATATATCATTTTCCACTGAAGCATTAATATTTTATGAAAAACAAATTGCAAGCAAACGATACGCTGAGCAGGTGCTCAGAGTGACGCAGGTCCCCGGTAATATGAACAGTTCGCCCACTTAACACTTCACACCAGGGTATATCTGATAAAGCTATGTTACTCCGTCACTGAAAATAAACCTTTAATCTATAAAAGAATTTCAAAATATGTTAAATGCCCGGTTAATTCTTGCCGCCGGGCGCCGCACCGGTGGGGTTCGAACCAGCGATCTCAGTCTCTCATCCTAGAGCTCAAAATGCATTATCACGTGACGTGTGGTCTTCCAGTTCTGCAAATCAAAGTTCTCATATCGATAGAAAACCCTGCATCGATAGTATGCATAGATCGAACTGCCACCAGTGATGTCATCAACGTGTCCGATTGGCATTGTGGGTAATCTCAAGTAAATGTTTTATGCATTTGGGCCCTAATAATGCATCAACCTTGGCTGTTTACAACAGAAAGCTGTTGGTGCCGCCTGCCCCACCGTTACCGTAGGTTGTAGGTAAGGTCAGGTCAGGTCGTGTTTGGTTAGATTTGAGGCCTGTACACATTCAGCTGTTGTGCTGTTGTCAGCTGAAATAGGCTCCGCCCACCGCTTCTGGCTGACGGAACTGTATACATTTGGCTGATGAGAAATGTCAGCACTGGCTGGCTGTTTACAAATATGGCGTTGTAAACAAATATTTCGTCTCATCTTCATGTTCTTTATTAATACAATACTTAAGCAGTTAGATATATTATCAAAATATTTACAGACAATGTGCGAAAGTAATAAGTATTTGTCTTGTATCGACAATTAATTATGAAACCAAATGTATGTGAATAGCGCCAACATGGTGTCCAAATTTCATTTATCTGCAGTGCTCAATAAAAATCTGGCACGTGATTTGCTTTCATGCGCCACTACCAGTGTCTAAATGCGTCATTTATGGCTTTTGCTGACGGCTCGGCATCTCTGCACTTGCTTTCTCGTAGCAGCACAGCCCGTCAGCCCATGCTGCCAGCAGCAGAGAGGTGACGTCATGTTGCAAGTGCAACAAAACATCATCAATTTTTCAGCCAATAGTGTGAGTGATTTTCGGCTGACAACAGCACAGCAGCTGAATGTGTACAGGCCTTTGGTTTGGCTTGGTTTGATTAGAAAGCATATCTGGGAATAGCCTCTCCATGATTAAAAAAGCAAGTGTGACTCCTGCTTTACGACTGCCAAAATTTTGACTTGCAATTGTAATGTTTTTCTAGATCCTTATCTGCCAGTCTCTTACCTAGGTACCTTATTTTTTCAATCTTTCAGTTGCCAGACACTTGATTGGGTGTGCCTAATCTAGACAATCAGAATTCTGAATAGAGACTGCCTAGTCCTGATCTGTGCTAGATGGCTAAAGTTGAGAAGCTTTCTATTTTCCTGAAATTTTCACAAAAGGAAAAAAATCCTGTCAAACTTGAAATACCATGGCAGCCTTGCCGCTCAGCTTGCTGAGCCGTTGTCCTTATTTTTCTGCCATAAACTATGTCCCAGTACAATAATTCCATTTTTAAAGTTTTTTTCTGTCATATACATAAATGTAACATAACCTTTTCTCTACTTACAGAAAGCCCCTCAACCATGTCATCAGACTTGACATCATCAGTGACACTGCAACCAGCTGCTGTGCCAGTGTTAAGCCTGACAGAACCCTTGGTGGGCCCGCTGCGTGCACAGGCAGCTCATGAGCCCTTGTTACCAATCTACTGCCTTATTTGCAATGCACAAGGATTGGAGCATGTTTACTGGAACATCCAGGTATCATACACAAACACTACCAACACAGTGCTGGCTGACAAGATGCTGGAATGTGTCCAGAGTGGCCTGCGAGCCTCCGAGCTGGCGCGTCACTCTGAGTATGTGTGCAGCAGCTGTGCTGCTCAGCTGAATCTGATCGATGAGTACGAGTCGGCGCTGGTGCGAGCTCGTTCCGAGCTGAAGCAGAAGTTCTGGCAGACGTTTATCGCGCGTGGTCAGATCTCTGTGTCCGATGACCCGCGCGTGCCCGATGTGGGGCCTGACCTGGCTCCGGCGCCCCGGAGCGTGCCACGGTCGGAGGTCAGCCCGCGGCGCCGGCCGCCGCCGCCGGCCGACCCCTGTCCCACAGAGACCGTGAAGGTGGAGTCCGTGAAGCAGCTCACCGCCGACGAGCCCAAGGAGGAACAGATGGAGAAAGGTGGGTAACTTTCGAAAGTTCAGCTATTGGAGACAAACGTTCAATAATTCTTTCATGTAATAGAAAAAGAAATAACACCTAGATACAGGCAGGTAAAGACTTCATAAAAAGTTTGAATGCTTATGCTGATTTTTGTTGTGTTTATTTGTGTGTACGTGGGCTAGGTTGCGCATGCTAATGCTGGTTATTTTGAACTGGCGCTATCGATACATCGATCAATATTCGTGCAAGCCAGCTTCCTTTATCCTCTCTTTTGAGTTTCGTTGACGATAAATTGTGGGTCACTGTTCCAACAGTGGAGTCAGCAGAGGAGACCACAAGCGAGCGCCGTGTTTCTGAGACGGACCGCGACCAAAGCGGGGCGATCGGTGACCAGGACGACCCGGCAACCTCCAACGCCGATGGACACGAGCCGGAAAAGACCGACACTGGACAAAAGGTCAGCCGATGTGCCGCTAAATTTAAACTAGCTGATGACAACGAGTGGGTGATATACTAGTAGCTGAGCGATCTTGTCATTTATGCCATCTTTTTAAGCGTTGCTTGATGCGTTTTCCGTGTCTTTTGCTGTTTTTCCGAATGTTAATTGTTACGTTTTTGTCACTGATCACTGTCGGTCGGTCGGTTTTTACGCCGAACTGTCTATTGGCAACAGTAAGCACGTCCTCACTATGTTACACAGCCGAGCGGCGGCCATTCTAAGGGGCGCACGGACTGGACAGAGGTGGACAAACACTACCGAAAGGTCAGCGACCCGGACGGCGCAGAGCGCTTCCAGTGCATCGTCTGCTTCTCCAACATCAAGGTAGGCGCTGACTGCTTAACGCTCCCCTGTCCACTGGACGTTTTGGGTCGGCGCACCCCTGAACGGAAAACAGCGTAGCTTTGTCACGTCCTCCAAATCGACTGGAACATTATGTTGCAAGCTAGCTTTCTGACTTTATTTAAGTCCAACACCAAAGTTTCTAATAATTGTTTACTCTGCAAAGGTGCATGATACATGTTAGGCTTCTGCTGACGCTGGAGGCTCCTAGGGAGCGGGAATGAGGTTGAAACGGCGCTGGTAGTCGCTGAGTGACCGAGAGGCGAGCCCCTGCCGATACCGAATGACTGAGGAGACTTCTACGATCCACAGGACCGCAAGGAGGTGCGGAAGCACGTTCGCCGCCACCTTGGCCTCATCAAGCTGCTCAAGTGTGGGTTCTGCGACTACCACTGCTACCGGCCCAGTAATCTGGCCATCCACGAGAGGAGGCACACCGGCGAGCGGCCGTTCACCTGCGAGGTGAGAGATGTTCTCGGTGAGCCGCGGTACGTCACGTGGGATTGAATTTTACTTCAAGGTTAAACCATCGTTAGTTTGCCAGTTCTTGCTAGTTCTGATCGCTTTGAATTCGGACTTGCACAATAATTGGTATTTCGATATTTTGCACGATAACTGTGTGTAGAATTATCCTAATCACATATGACAATTGTGCCGTTATCTGCCTCCAGATGTGTGGCGCCGGCTTCAAGTCCAACGACAGTCTGACGGTGCACCGGCGGACGCACACTGGCGAACGGCCGTACCAGTGCGACCACTGTCAGAAGCGCTTCACCCAACACTCATCGCTGCAGATTCACAAACAGGTGGGTGGTTGAGGTCGAAGTTCGTTGGTTATGTTTGATTGTCCGGTACCCCGTTCATCTAATTATTTGGTGATATCTTTCACCCTCGCTCAAAAGTCGATCTTCAGCCGTCTCCGTCACGATATTTATCTCACCGAACTGGTGAATTGATTTTCCCTCAGCTTTATTAACTTCACGTCACTAACTTGCCTTCTCGTCGCCAGGTTCATTCGGGCCAGAAGCGGCACATCTGCGACTACTGCGGAAAGAGTTTCACCCAGCTCGGGAATCTCAAGTGTCACCGTCGGGTCCACACGGGCGAGACGCCCTACTCCTGCCAGACCTGCGACCGCCAGTTCCGCTCCGACTACCATCTCAAGGTGGGCTCACCTCGCGCGGAATCTGTTGTGTTTTTATCTAAACTCATATTATGTGAGCAGTCTCGACAAACGCTTAAAGTCATTTCTTAGTTTGCTCTTTGGCGCATCTCAATCTGCCCTTCGACGCATCATGTGCTCTCAGACGCATCTCAATATGTTCCTGACTCGACGTCGGCCGCAGGTACACCAGATCGAACACACGGGTCGGCGGCCGCACCTATGCCAGGTCTGCGGACTTGGCTTCCTCACCGCACACAAGCTCAAACTGCACATGGCCACACACACTGGAAACAAGGTGAGCTCGAGTATCTGGACGACGAGACTTGTCGTCACCTTGACTGATAACAGCTCTGGCAGCTGGCGTGCTTCTAGCCCATCGACTGGTGAATGGTGATGTAAGGGCTGGTGTCTCGGCTGTCGACTCTTTAAAAGAATGGTTGGCGGTGACTCTCAACTGAATGTCAATATAGTGTGGATGTGTCTCGATCATCGACTAAACTGTTTAATGGTTAAATCTCCTTTTTTTCTCATCTCACAGATTGGTTACTCGTGCGACGTTTGCGACAAGAAGTTAGCCACCCGCAGATCGCTGAGGAACCACAAGCGAATTCACACGGGCGAGCGGCCGTTCCCGTGCGCCACCTGCTCGGCCCGTTTCCGCACGGAGCCGCTGCTGCGAGCCCACCGGCGTCACTGCGCAGCGAACGCTGTCCTCGTCTTGTCACCCCCGCCGCCCGTCACCGAGCCGTGCCAACGGTAACAGCGACCGGGGAGGCGGGGCCATCGCGAGAGGGTGTTCAACATGAGGTCTGCCATTACGGATATAGTTTGTGTGTTGAAGACACTTTTGACATCGAAAGGCTTGACTTGGTGACTTGATTTACGCGGTACTGTGTTATTTATTTATGTGGGAATATGTAGTGGCTCTCTCCGGTATAGAAGGCGATGATATAGTAGGTAAGCGGAGTCTGATACAGATAAACCAGCCTGTTGAAAGAAGCAAAATTGACATTTTTCCGGGGAGCGTGCTCGAGAGGAAAGATTGCATCACTGCAACGTAAAATATCTCCATACAGCTAATTTTGATTTTTACCTAGACTAAAGAAAACATCTCCTTTTATAACGGTTCCAATTTGGTGCTTACGTGAATTATAATAATAATTAATAACCAATCATTGCATCCATATTATGAAGCCCAACTTCGACTTTACCGCCGTCTGTCGCTTGTATCCGCCACGGTATGCAATTGATTGCGTCGCCATAAACATTGTTATGCGCCGGAGAAATGCTTCTTGTCTCTGGGAGACTATTGGGGCGGGAAGTGCCTTGACTTGTGCCTTGGACTACGTGCGATGCGACTCTTGTTGTGGCTGGGCTGCTGGAAATGTGAAACAGCGCGTAAGAACAAGACTTGGCCCAATGGGGCTAGCCATTTTTCTTCGCTCAAAACAATGTATTTTGGAGTCTTGGGCTAATTGGGCATTAGCACATCAAGAGAAAGGGTGCCCATCAGCGTGTCTTGTTCGATCGTCATCTGTTGTCCGTATGGAGGCAGTTCCTCCATGGCCTCGCTTCCACCGTGTTAGTTTGGCATGCGGTGTTACGGCTTAGCCAGCTGCGAATGTCTCATTGGCTTGGCTCATGTATTTTTTATGATAATTGATCATGCCATGCGTAGTTTCATGAGATTGTGATGGACAGTAGCGGCGGAACACCTTCAATTAAGGGGGGGGGGGGGGGGGGGCACTGCCGACTTTTGATCCCATTCTTTCCGTGCAACGCCCATAGGGCTAATGTTAAAATGCCAAAATCAAAGGGGGCACGGTGCCCTCCCCGTTCCGCCGCCTATGGTAATGGATGCTGACGCCGTCATTTTAGAGCTAAACGGCGTCCATCAAACATTGATTTGTCATTAACTTGACTGCGTTGGCATCTGCTGATAGTGTTGTTTTACTGACCATTGTATGTAAACGTGTATAGATCTCTTTTTGTTCGCGCCTACGGAAGTTTGTACACATTGAAGCTCAGCTGATCATCATCTCGTTTTTCATCTTTTATTATTATTTAATAAAGAAGTGTACGGACGATAACAGCTCTTGGTTCATGCGTAAGACGTGACCATGACGGGTCCGTATCAAAGCGTCCAAAACCGCAGCATCCAAGGTACGCAACATCCAAAACCGCAGCGTCCAGAGTACGCAACGTCCAAAATACGTCCAAAATCGGGTTTATAGGTGGCATTCACAAAGTCCAAAACCAAAACATCCAAAAACGCAACGTCCAAAAACGTATCATCCAAAAAACGCAACATCCAAAGACGCAACATCCAAAGTACGTAACCTCCAAAACCACAACGTCCAAGACCACGACATCCAAGGCACGCAACATCCAAAACCAACCTAACCTAACCTAACCTAACCTACTGATTTTGCCTACCGGGGATGAGGAAACCCAACCTAATCTAACCTAACCTAACCTAACCTCTAACCTAACCTAACCTAACCTAACCTAACCTAACCTAACCTACTGATTTATGCCTACTGGGGATAAGGAAACCTAACCTAGCCTAACCTAACCTAACGGTTTTGGATGTTGCGTACTCTGGATGTTACGTACTTTGGATGTTGCGTACTTTGGATGATGCGTCCTTTGGATGTTGCGTTTTTTGGATGATACGTTTTGGATGTTGCGGTTTTGGATGTTTCGGTTTTGGACGTTGTGAATGCTCCCTATAGGGGGACCATCAAAGCGTCCAAAACCGCAGCATCCAAAGTACGCAACATCCAAAACCGCAGCGTCCAAAGTACGCAACGTCCAAAATACGTCCAAAATCGGGTATATAGGGAACATTCACAACGTCCAAAACCGAAACATCCAAAACCGCAACATCCAAAACGTATCATCCAAAAAACGCAACATCCAAGGACGCATCATCCAAAGTACGCAACATCCAAAGTACGCAACATCCAAAGTACGCAACATCCAAAACCGTTAGGTTAGGTTAGGCTAGGTTAGGTTAGGTTAGGTTTCCTTTTGCCCGTAGGCATAAATCAGTAGGTTAGGTTAGGTTAGGTTAGGTTAGGTTACGTTACGTTATGTTAGGTTAGGTTAAGTTAGGTTAGGTTAGGTTTCCTTATCCCCGGTAGGCAAAAATCAGTAGGTTAGGTTAGGTTAGGTTAGGTTAGGTTAGGTTAGGTTAGGGATAGGCAAAAATCAGTAGGTTAGGTTAGGTTAGGTTAGGTTAGGTTAGGTTAGGTTGGTTTTGGATGTTGCGAGCCTTGGATGTCGTGGTCTTGGACGTTGTGGTTTTGGAGGTTACGTACTTCGGATGTTGCGTCTTTGGATGTTGTGTTTTTTGGATGATACGTTTTTGGACGGTGCAGTTTTGGATGTTTCGGTTTTGGACTTTGTGAATGCCCCCTATAAACCCGATTTTGGACGTATTTTGGACGTTGCGTACTTTGGACGCTGCGGTTTTGGATGTTGCGTACCTTGGATGCTGCGGTTTTGGACGCTTTGATACGGACCCTCCCTATATACCCGATTTTGGACGTATTTTGGACGTTGCGTATTTTGGACGCTGCGGTTTTGGATGTTGCATACTTTGGATGCTGCGGTTTTGGACGCTTTGATGGTCCCCCGACCATGACGTATGTAGCTAAGCAGCAACTTCTGTTTGATGAATCAATGAGCCTCCAGAGTCCGGACGTGGGCCCCGCCGGCCCGGCATAAGCAGCCGTTGTACCCTCATGTATATTTTTAGTAGTTTCGAACCATCGTTGATATGCTTCGTTTTATATCATGAATACATTGCTATTTTTTTTATTTTCAGAAGGCGTGCGAGATGTTTTATTTCAAGTTTTGTTTTGTCACCGTTCATTGTTAGATGGATTTTGTGAAATGGTCGTAGAGAAGCAGGCCCCGACGCACAAGTGCCAGGATCTAAAACAGAAAAATAAGTTTGTATGAGGGGTGACACTTCGTACGACAATGCCAAGAAGATACAGTACATTTGCCACTGAAAACTTCGATCACTGGCCCAGGTAGGTATTTGTAAAGTTATCTTCGGCTCAGCTCACGCCTCAGACCGCTGCTTGACGACTGATGTTTGGATAAATTTGTATAATCATGGCTCCCATGGCTCCATATAAAACTTGTTGATGCACTGATGGCCTCAGCAAGGACTGAAGGATGTTCGTGAACTAGCAATAGGTGAGATGGTTGAGATAAATAAAAAAGTGAGCGATAGAGAGCTTTCGTGGTCCCAATTTCCCAATGACGGAGCTACGTTTGAATCTTTGATCCGAAAATACCGCGGTTGGTGTATCGAAAAAATATTTACCGTAGACTGGGTAGCATTGCAGAAGCACTGCAGTCACACTCCAGATCTTGAGCTATCATAAGAAATTATTACTGTTTTGTTGTAGAATTTGTCAAAGTTGCCATGCTCACCATGCTTTATAGAGAGTTTAGCAATAGAGCATGAATAGAGCGTTTAGCAAATAAATTAATAAATGCATCATCATTAGCCAGCTGACAACAGCTTTCTGCTGATGTCGCTTACAGACCAGGCTTTGTTCGTTTGCTGGTCAATGTTCATGTCAATCTGCTTACAATCCGTCGAAATAGAGATTGAATACCTATGACGTAATTTTCTGCATAACCGCCAATGAATGACTTCGAAATGTTACTCTGTGCGTCACCAACTGCTCCTGCAGATCGATTTTGATTGGTCAAGCGTTTAGTTGCTGCCAGCAAAAACGTTGTGCGCCTTCTTGAACACCAAGGCCCTATTTGAACACTGATAGCACTTTTTGGCGGCAAATCAAAATCTTGCACAAATGTGCACACACGAATGAGAATGCAATGCAATATTTCATCAAATAACATTATTACAAATAAATTGTAATACTGATACTTTACTGAATTGTGGCATATTGCCAATGTGAATACCTGTATTAGGTAAGTGTTTTCCTGTCCTGACTGTGGAAAGTGTTCCAGCCTTTAAAGGAAATAGTTCACTTTTAACATGGGGTTTGAACTGGAATAGCAGTTTCGTAGCTTGAGCTGAGACTAGCACAAATCAGGAGCTTTTACGGCTCAATGATCACCCTAGACGAAGATATTCCATTTCTCGTTCCGAAAAGAGTGCCTTGCAGAGGAATGTGTGCCTTGCACAGGAATGCAGCCACATCATCGTCAGCCAATCAGCATGCTGCTTACAGCCAATGCAGTATGCGTAGGTTTGAACTACGCGATATGATTGGTCAACGCGTAATAAGCTTCCGCGTCAAACATTATTTTACATAGAATATAGTTCGTCCTATATTAAAATATAGAAAAAAAATGTTTTTACAAAAAGGTTTTGTTTTATTTCATGATCATTTTGAGCATAAAAAATGATAAATCAATTGAAAAATACTAATTTCAGGAAAGTGAACTGTTTCCTTTAATATTCAGACTTTTGTTGCCCATTTGAGTTAAAATGATGGTAAAACTTTAGTTTTTTACATAAAATTGATAACTTCACAAAGTTTTCTTCATATCGGGCAAGTCAAATAGCAAAAAAATATGTGGTGACGGGTAGGGTAGTACCTAGGTACCTAACGATGCCGGGACAAATCGGTAATCGTAAAGCAGGTGTCACACTTCTGCTGTCTGCAAGGTTGGAAATCATGAAATGTGAAATATGAAAAAATGAAATTTCATGAAGGCCCTCTTCTGGTCCCAGTCCGGTCCGTAACTTAATGTTCTTTACAAATTTATGCTCCGGCACCTGAAATAATGTAGATTTTCAAGCCTGCAAGATGAAAAATTGTGCCTATTTTGCCTAAAATCTGCAGTAATGACGTTGAGAGTCACAGGTCTTATTATTTACCACATTTAATTGGCCAAACTTATGGTGTTGCTACCCATTGCTCTAAGATCTGGCTTCTCTGGGTAGCTTTTATTCTCCTGGACCGGAACCCAAAATGACAATTCCAACACTGCACTTCTGTGTATGTTTATGGCTGGAGGTATAGTTCGTTTTTTTTTTCAAAAGGACGCTGGCTCCAAGTTCCTTATCGAAGCTCTCACGTGAGTTTTGGCAGCTTCAGTGTCTGGCCAAGAATTTCTTACCGAAAAAATATTCGATTTCAAATTGTGCACGGTAAGTACCTGAAAATTGTGTCTTGAAAAATTAGCATACTATGATGACATCACTGGTGGCAGCAGGCACTCAATGCCCGTACGATGGGACAAAGTTTCGACGAATTTGGGGGAAACTTCGTTTTTCACTGTTGCCGAGGTTATATATTATAATCGAGCAAGCGGTTTCGTCCATGATAGTTATACGCTACATTGCAAAACAATTTCGACAGCATGACGTCACCACTGTTCTCAAATCTGGTTCCAAAACGCACGGATGGAAATTATCGGGAATAATTCACATGTTAAAATAAGGCGACGTTCGAGTTTCTCAAGTTCAGTTTTTGCTCGTTTTGCTCGCTAAAACGCGTGCTTTTTCGAAAAACATACTTGGAGCCAGAGTCCTTTTGAAAAAAAAAACGAACTATAGTGTGACGGGCTGTGGCCTTGAGTTGAGACTGGCGCTAGTGTCATCGCAATATATTGTTACCTACGAACGTGCAATCAATGCATGTTTTCTATCTACATATGAGGGAGGGATTACCGGGCATGACAAGTACAGCGGGACAAATTGGGACTCGGCTGACTTCAGCAGGACGTAGTAGGACTCAGCCGACTACAGTGGGACATAGTGGGACTCGGCCGGTCCCAGCGGGACACAATGGGATTCGGCTGGTCCCAGCGGGACACAATCGGCCTATGCCGGTCCCAGCGGGTCAAAGTGGGACTCAGCCGACTACTGCGGGACATAGTGGGACTCAGCTGGTTCCAGCGGGACTGGTTCCAGTACCTAGTCGACTGAGTCCCACTTTGTCCGCTGGGACCGGCCGAGTCCCACTATGTCCCCCTGTAGTCGGCTGAGTCCCACTATGTTCCGCTGAAGTCGGCTGAGTCCCAATTTTCCCGCTGTAGTCGGGTGAGTCCTACTATGTCCCGCAGTAGTCAGCTGAGTCCCACTTTGCCCCGCTGGGACCAGCCGAGTCCCATTGTGTCCCGCTGGGACCGAGTAAGTCCCGACTTTGTCTCGCTGGAGTCTATTACTCTTCATACGACTTTGTCTATTACTCTTCATTAAATATGTACATGTATGAACCAGGAATACAAACTGTTTGTTTGCTGTCATTTTGTTCTGCTGTGCCATCAGTTGTCAGAGGTCGCCTGTTTCATAGAAGTTCCTCCGGGCGACTGCCGTGATGTCCAGTCGCCGAACACGAGGGCGTGCCGTCGACTACCGAGCCCTCGCCGATGGCGCCGACAGCGACGGTAAGATTGCATCGAAAAGACGCAAGCTCGTTACGTTTTTGGATAGCAAATTGTACGATCATAAGGAAATCGACTAAGTAAGCTAGCTCATTGATTGTAAAGTTATGGATCCATTGTCCCACCGAGGCACCCGTAGTTATGTCCCATTGATTTCGATTGCATTTAAGTAGTTTCGTCATTTTATTTCATGCAGATGATTTTACCGTGCCGACTCCTCCGACGAAGCGTCCGCGGTGTCAGAAGGCCAGTGAGCGGGCTGCCGAGTTTGCGGACGGCGCGGGACCGTCGCACATGCGCGTCTCGCTGGACGACAAACTCTACCAGGTAATCACAAGACTATCAACATCGCTAATGGAACTTTGCACCGTAGCTTCGTGCAACTTTGACCACCAAGGGCAACTTTGGCGCATGCCTGGAAAAATAATTTGTTTTGCTGTAGCTTTTTACACTTACCTAATATTGCCACTGAGCGTGCAATTTAAAAATACCACTCAAAGAATGGTCGAAGTTGGGAGTAGGAATGTTCGACATTCGAAATTCTGAAATTCGAATTCAGAATTTACCCGGATGTGACGAGCCTTCCCGACATTGGAAAAGTAAATTGTAGTTTTATTGCTATCGTATAGGGACGCGAGAAAACTCGCTCTTTGAAATAATTGTGGGTATGTCTTGTGTCTGTTACGCTTAGAAAAGACGATAAACCACAGAAATACTCGACCATCTGGTAAAGGCATAATGTTGAATCCTTTGGAACGCAATTACCGGCCTTCATAATTACAGAGGCATGTGACAACTGATATGGAAGAGGTCGTCCTTGGTGTGGGGGTGTTTTGATAGGCTGTTGCTTCCCATATGTCCAAGAGGTCAGACATCTACTTTTGTTCACAGAAACAGCTAAGAATCGCCTTAGAAAGATCTCGAAACGACTGTAAGGATTCCTCAGATTCGTCGTCCCAGGAAAGAAGTGTCAAGTCTGCAGATACATTGCCTGTCTCAGAAGCTGAAATGTCACAAGGCCCCGATACAGAAATCGAGGATGAGATTACCACTACGAAATGTACGTACTTATCTTATGCATGGTACTTTTGATGTTTTTTCCCGTAAATGATGTGTGCGCTGTAGAAGACGGTGGTATGTGTTCGGCAAAGGTTATTGAACATATGTGATATGTGTACATACATGTGTATGTAGTCATATATGACCTATTGCTTAACGCTGACGATAAAAAGGATGTATCATGGTAAAACTCAAACCACTGAATTATGAAATTGTTGTATCATAATCTTCCCTACAATAAATCGCTAACTCTTATTTTAGTTATTGCGTGCATGGCAGGACCGTGGCTGACATTTAAAAGATAGTGATCAATTTTTGTGCTAGCCTATTTTACCGTGTAATTTAATTTTCATAATTTTCGTTCCAGGCTCTCCTGACCACGACAAGTGGACAGCCAGCGGAAGCAGCTCATCGGACGAGTCGGAGAGCGACTACACGGCAGAGTTATCCGACGATGAATTCAAGCCACAACCGAAAAAGGTAGCGAAGAAACCCGCTAAGGCCACGGCCAAAAAACAATCGACACCCAAAGCTAAGCCGACAAAGCAGCGTTCGCCCGTCACGAAGCGCCAAGTATCGCCTCGCGCTCCCCCGCGGTCCGACGGTCCGCCGCAGCTGAAGGCCATCAGTCCAGTCAAGAACTCTCCGGCGTCCGAGGGACCGCCGCCTCTGACCAGGCCGGTCCTGAAAGCGGTCAACTCGTCAGCGATCGACAACTCGTCAAGAACTCCAGACATGACCAGAGCGGTAGCATCCAAGCTTCACGACAAAAATCCGTCGACTCCGTCACCCTCATCGGGACGGACCGGGCCGAAATGGAAACCTCCAGGTCAGTTCAAGATGTTTGCTTACCTAGCATCAGCATTCAGCATGCTTGCATGTGCTCCAGTGCACAGCGCATCGTAGAACGTCAGCCACTGATACGGCGTAGATGTTCGGGAAATATATCTGAATAGAATACACCAGTATAACGCCTTTTGGGGCGACTAACGGAGCGAGCGAGAGGGTGGGGCTTGCACGTGCGAAATTTCGAGGGGATACCTCCAACTGAATTGAGCACGGCACCCTACTAACCGGTCTCTAGCAATATGCCAAATTTGAGCACAATCGGCCCAGCCGTTCTCGAGACCTGGAAGCGGCACCCTGCACGTGCGCACGTGCAAAATGGGTCCCAACTGACTTGTGCACGGCACCCTACTAACCGGTCCCTAACTGTACCAAATTTGAGCGCAATCGGTCCAGCCGTTCTCGAGATCTGGAAACGACCACTGCACGTGCGCACGTGCAGCAGCACCCCAACTCTGGCACATGGGTATGCAGTGCCTAGTGGGTGCCTAATAACCGGCATGGCGGTTGTTGGTCGGCCACCCTCTGTGGCCTTTGACCCCAGCCCTCGGCCCAGTTCCCCCTGCAGGCTGATTGGGTTGGGGTGTGCGGTCTCAGCATGTAAAAGGCTAACTGGTATCTCTTGTTCGGTGAACTGGCTCACTCGGCGCAGTTGGCGAGCTGCTTCCCGTACGAATGATACGTTGTACATGCCAACTTTCAGCGCAATCGGCCAAGTAGTTACCGAGATATTGCAACAATTACAAAACTGACACCTCTTCGTTTTGCACGTGGCAGGTGCATAAGGGGTCACCCACATGCATCGGGAATAGTCCAATACTTGGTAGAAGGAACGAAGCTACCCTACAAAAATTACCGCGTGTAAATCGGTCAAATGGTTGCTGAGATATAAGCCTCGCAAAAGCGTCCGCACGGCCGGCTGGCCGCTCATACTCAGAAATTTCCGTTAATCTAAGGAAAGACTTCGCTCGCTCCGTAATAATAGAATGCGTGGATCAAAAGGGTAGCTATATAGTGTTGCGACTTGTCGTGACTGCATTTTTCTTTTCTTTTTCGGATGGCTTCGCCCGCGGATAGGCAATTACCAAATCAAACTGGATGTTTTGGTAACGAAAGCCGTTCCGAGCTCGCTGTGCGCTGTTACAAGGTGGCGCGCTCTGAGTCAACTCTGAGTGATCACAGACGGCGTGGCGGTTGTTGGTCGGCCACCCTCTGTGGCCTTTGACCCCAGCCCTCGGCCCAGTTCCCCCTGCAGGCTGATTGGGTTGGGGTGTGCGGTCTCAGCATGTAAAAGGCTAACTGGTATCTCTTGTTCGGTGAACTGGCTCACTCGGCGCAGTTGGCGAGCTGCTTCCCGTACGAATGATACGTGAGTCGCTCAGACATTTGAGGTGTGAAGGAACATGCCTGGTTATGTAAGAGAAGATCGTATGAGCATACGATTCGTTTATGACGAGCTGCACTTATCGATAATGCGTTGGTTGGGCATCGAACAAATTTGCGACCCATAAATGTTAACGTGTTTTACCATACCTAAATCATCAGCAAACGTTGATTACATAAATCTGAAGTCTTCCAATTCTGCCTTCTTTTCAGCTCGAATATCGGAGGGCAGCGGGTCAGCGCGGCGGCTCGACTCTCCCTCCGGCGGCGCCCTCCGTCGCCTGGGCCTCTCCCGGAACGTGCGGCTCAAGTCGCTTCATCCGTCGGCCAAACCCGTCATTTAGTTGTGCGATGCGTATGTACGGTAAGAGTGGTTCCGTTCATGTTCGCTGTGTTTTTGGGATGTGGCATGCATATTTTCGTCTCATGTCATTCATGCTGTCAATGTGTGGTCATTTCCTTGACGCTTACGTATATAGATGATTGCCTGCTTAATGGCACGCGACGAGCGCTTGAAGACGAGAGTCGAGACAACAGTTCAGCGTATCTTTTCATTTCCTCTTGTGCTGTCTTTTACGTACAGTGCTCACGCTCACGTAAAAACTGATTGTCAAACTTCCGGTAGTATTCAAACTCATGTTTAGACACCACTGTGGGCAACTGAACTGAACTTTCGTTTGACAGCATGCACATTGCATATAACGTTACACTATCGATTCATGCATATCTCAGTGTCTTCATATTATGTTTGTACTCAGTGGTAAGTAATGTGACTGATTTGAAGGACCATGAGCCTCATGAAGGACCATGTGCTGCGTGCCTTCCGTCAAATCTAATACATCCTTAAAAGATCGGGCATGTTTACATATTATTATATAAGTTAACGGTTAAATTACGAAGTTTCAACATCACTGTTCACGGTACACAGACAGCCAGCTGCTGCTTCCAGCTGCGTTTTGTACAGGTTAATACAGTCACATTTCTGACGCTGATCTACAAGGCGATCAACGTGCATGCCTGATCCGTCGATGCATCGCAATACCACGCCATGCTTGACTCATGCATTTCTACACCACCTGACCTTCGGACCGACACAACCAATACAACAAACTCTCGAGGCCTCGTATTCTTCCGAGGCCGTCGATGCGGCGTTTTCAGTAAGGACTATACTTTTCCATGAAGTCCTTGTCAAACTGCCTTCCAACGTGCTTCTTGAGATGGATCAGATATTGTACGGTGTACTCCAGAACTGTGGCCTGAAATAAGTGTCGGGTATTAAACATAATGTCGCGACGACGACGCATTAGCTCTAAGGTGGGTGCGTCACACCGACGCGGTAATATCCAATAACGTTTTATGAAACGGTCTCATTGCGATAACTTTGATATTTATATTCCGTGTGAGATTTCTTTAAGATCATCTTGTTTCTCTTGTCGAGACGCGTCGAATGATCTCTAATTTGACATAAATGCGTCAACTTTCAAAAATTTCACTTAACCCTCGCCCCGTTGGGGGGGGGGTATTTTGCCCCCCCCCCCCCCCTGTGGTTTTATTTTCAGTACCTTCCCGGGCATCAATTTGACACCTTCACACCAAATTTCAAGTCTTAGATCACCTTAGGTCAGGAGATTGAGGTCAAACTGAGGTCATGTTCGAGCAAAAATGAGCAAAAAACATGCAATCTTGAAACGCTCACCAAATCTACAGTTATCAAGCAATTTCAAAGTTCTTTATATGGTCTAGTAGACAAAAAGCGGCCCTACAAAAGTGCTATCTCGGATTTTCAAAATTTTGGGCTTTTGACCCCAAAAAATTCAAAAAATTGATTTTTTTTAGATAAAAAATAAAAAATCCGAATTTCGAAAAAATAACGGAAGATATGTGATAGTCCCTGTGCTCTTCTATATATATATATATATATATATATATATATATATATATATATATATATATATATATATATATATATATATATATATATATATATATATATATATATATATATATATATATATATATATATATATATATATATATATATATTATATATATATATATATATATATATATATGTATATATATATATATATATATATATATATGTATATATATATATATATATATATATATATATATATATATATATATATATATATATATATATATATATATATATATATATATATATATATAATATATATATATATATATATATACCAAATTTCAGGTCGATATCTCGTTTTTGGCCAAGTTATAGCGAAAAAACTTCAAAAATGATGACGTCAAATTTTTGAACTCAATTTTTAGCGATTCTAGACCACGTACGGCAAAACAAAGACCACCAATAAACTCCCCGTGACGAGCTGCATCGATTCGATACCCATTTTATGCAAAAATATCAACTTTGAAATTTGACCTAATTTGACCTGACCTTGACCAAAACGTGACCTAAGCTGGCCCCAAAGGCTGCCTGACCCACATAATCGCATTTGTCATGTAAAATGGACCATAAAACATGTATCGCACGACACTTTCATATTGTGACCCCCCAGTGACCTGACCTCTGTGACCTGACCTGGTATCAGTGACCTCAAATAGCAAAATATGTGTTTGAACAACATTAACCCATCGATGATTTTCAATGAAATGCATTTTAGTCGATTTTACAGCGCATTTCTTGAAGTGCCTGTAAACGGTGAAAATTGGACCTTTGACCTGACCTGTGACGTCATCGGTGTGACCTAGGTCAATAAAATTGGGTCACAAGGTAGTTCCCTGATATCCAACACCGTTTGCCGCTTGTCGCTAGGTTGCGTGGTTCTCGAGATCTTGGGGGGGGGGGGGGCAAAATGCCCCCCCTCCAACAGGGCGCGTTGCTCGGCAGAGCCCAACGGGGCGCGGGTTAAGGCTGAGGTGAAGGTCACCGGCATAAAAAGTCAAGTTGGATAGTCTATTACCTACTGTTAAGAAAAAAAAAACAGCCAAGCCGGGTTAATCGTCCTGATATGCCTCTAACAAGTCCCTGCCAAAAACACTGATGGAGACATTCCCATCACGTCACATGACCTCAAGTCAAATGTATAATGTGGTACCGCGAGCACATTATTTCTAACCCGCAATTGTTCTTGCGAACAAGACCAAGACTTCCCCACACCATACCTTGTCAGTCTTGTCGCTGAGTCCTGGTACCAAATCCTTGAGAAGTGAGCAGGCATTCTTGATACGATAGCGACGTTTGCGCTCCTTTTCGTTGTGCGTCTCACGACCTGCAAAACGACGGGACATTCAGATACCACGCTGGAAAGTTAAAGATTACATCATTCTTTCAGTTTGCGGTTGCACGCGAAGCTTGCTCACACACGAATGTGTGTTTATTTAAAAAAGGACATCATTTTGAACATGCCAAGAATAATACTGAATGAAATAAGTGCCAATTTCCCACTTAAATGCCTCTAGTAAAAGGATGTTATACGTCTTTGCTCCGGAAAAATACCCAAGTAACGCATCCACTTAACCCGCGCATGACTGGGGTGGGGGTTCTACAGAGCCCCCCTCCCGTTTTTCAGCAATATCTTCCATACTGTTGGACGGATCAACACCAAACTTGCGGTACCCTCAGCGGCATCAATCTGGCACCTTGTGTTAAAATTTCAACTTTCTAGCTACCATAGTTTGGCCGGAAATGACGTCAGAGTGACGTCATGTCGGCCGATTTTGATGCAAAATATTGAATTACGGCAAACGCTCTCAAGAGCTTAGTTTTAAAGCTACATCCAATTTATTTGCATCAGTGGACTACAAATACACGTAGCTATCAAACTGCTATCTCGAATTTTCGAAATTTTTAAAATTTCGAAAATATATTTTTTACAATTACAAAAAAAAAAAAATATTTTTTTTTATTTTTACCAAAACTTTTTGATTTTACGCAAAACCGGAATATATGTGATAGGACACAAACTGATGAACTACTCTAGCATGTTTTAGCCCAATATCCTCAAAAATAGCCATGTTATTTGCATTATTGTCAAAATTTTACAATTATATATCTTTCGAAACCATTTTTCAGTACGTTGTTGACATCATACAGCAATAAAAATGGCACCATCGTGTTCCTGATCTCAAACTGCATCTGATAGGCACCTTTTTTGTTGAAAAATTTCATTTTCAAAATTTGACCTTTTCTTACCTGAAAGTGACCTGACCACCGGTAAATTCAGTTGAAAATGACCTCAAATGACACGTCAGACGACATTGTTTTCGAAATCTACGAGTAAAATGGACCATAAAACATGCGTCACGTGAACGATAATGATATACAATTTTCGTGACGTAGGATGACCTGGCCTTGACCTTAAAATTTCGAAGTAAAAGTTCGATACCCTCGGGGTGTCTAAGCATATATCAAGGAGTGCGTAAACCAAAAATGAGCCTGATCGGACTTGTCAGCCGGTGGTCAGACCCTAAATTGTGAACAAGCAAAAATGCCGATAATTTTTACTTTGACTTGACCTGTGACGTCATCGGGGACCTCGAGGTCAATGAAAATAGGTTTCGCTCGACAGTTTTTTTTTTCCAGGGCTATCAGACGCCGTTTGAATTTTGACGATCGGCCCAGTAGTTTCGGAGATAGGAGGGGGGGGGGGGGTTCTGGAGAGCCCCCCCCCCCCAGTTACTCACGTTATGGAAAATACTCCAGTCATGCGCGGGTTAACAATTTTGGTACTCAGTAAAAGCCGCTATGCTGCCACCAAACACGAATTGCGACCAACGTACCCGGACAAACGGGCATGCAGCCGATGCCGTCCAGCGGGCCGATGATGCTGCCCAGCTGGTGTGTCACCGGCCGGAAGCCAGGCGACTCGCCGTTAAAATACTCGCCAGCCGAGGAGGGGCCGGCGCCGTCCTGCAGCCGCGCGTACTCCTCTGGAGAGCCCATCTTGTTTTCCTCGCCGCTGCTGTTCAGCGTCATGGTTCCGCCATCCTGTCAACAATTACGTGTTGGAATTAGTTCACTGATCCTAAGCAGATTTTCTTACTAATGTTCTAGTTTTTATGATGTCCGTTTTATTAGTTTCGTTGTTTTTTTTTCGATGACACAGTATGTAGACACTACCACTCATATTCCGTCAGTGCTTTGGTTTTGCACCAAATATTTCGCCCCATGGAACCTCGAAGTCGCTTGGGGCTAGCTTTCTCCCATTCTCGATGAGCTGGCCAAATACGCTGGATTTTATGTTCTAGTTTCGTCGCGATCGCGAGTGGCTTTCCATTTGTAGGAACGGGTGTCAAAAGTATGCACCGAGTCGACTTCGCGAAACGTCCATTTTCAAAGGATCCCGATATTAAAAAGGGCGCAAAATGGCGGTTCGAAAAACAAAACATTTAAACATTGCCGAAGGATATAGGAACCGCCAACATGAAGTCGACGCATCAGCCAGGACGTATGGAGACGATACAAGCGTTACGCATATTGTCAACTGAGGAAATATAATGGTTCATATTCCTGCCATACACATAACCCACTGTCTAAATGCAGCGCGTTCGTGGTTTTGCCACTTCATTGGATGCAGCTCTTCTTTGGTTGAATTGACAATCTCACCTGGTTGAAAGGCGAGGTCCAGTTGTCGTACTGGTGGAACGCAGCGCCGCCGGACCGCGTGCTGTACCGCGGCACGTTCAGGCCCGACTGCTGCGAGTCCTGGTGCGACAGTGCCGGCCGGTAGATACTGGCCGCAAAACCCTGGCTGTAGCTGCCCTGCACGGGTCCAATAACAGGGAAACGTCCATGGGATGTTAGAACGGAATGTTGTGTTATGTCAAGACTGCACGCCGCCCGCTCTTTTCAATAAGGTCTACGGACGTCGGACAAATACAAAAATAGGTAAGTAGTTATTACATGCGCCATCACAGTTATTTTATTACATTCGAGTCATGACTGAAAAAAGAAAACACGTTCAACTCCCCTTTCATCGATTCAGTCAATCATTCGGACGACAGTACGTACGGCAGATGCGTTGAGTCCATCGCTATCGACAGCAGAAGATTCCATTCTGTCTTTATCGCCTGATGTCGACATAAGTGAGCCATTGCCGTCCATCAGAGGATACCCGGTCTTCTGATCGATTCCGCTGGAAGTTCAATCCATCATTTATCGTTGTAACCCAGTCTTGCATGAAGAGTAAGCAAACTATAATTCTAATTTCTAACTTTTCAATAGGGTGTTTGCCAAAATGTCGCCACACATGGCTAACCCGGCAGTTGCTGGGGTATTTCGCCACCCACCGTTTGCTGGGGGGGGGGGGGGGGGCGTTGTATTGTATTGTATTGTATTGTATTTACATTTAAGAGCGATCCACATACAAAGTGCGTGGCGATTACTGCTCAGAATCCGTATCCGCGGTTGCTAATCTAATCATTCAAAACAGTTGCACATTCACTCACGTCAAAACAAGGACAAAACACTCTCAGGACAGCCTCATCGCTTTTACCCACCCCTATCCTATTGGTCAGCGACGATGTGCTGATTCATCGTCCACGATTGCGGCTTTAACAGCGCGGGCGAAGCGGGCGGGAGGCAGCTGCGACAGGTGAGGTGGCAGGCTGTTCAGCAGAGCTGCAGCTCGATAGCCAAACCGCCGCTTGCCCGTTTCCAGCCGTGGACGGGGAAGATGGAAGAAGTGATCTTGCCTGGATGGTCTCTCGCGGATAGCGCTATTAGCGACGAATAGGGCTGCTAGTTGCTCAGGTTCACGGCGCTGTATGACCTTGTGTGCGATGACAAGGGTGTGGAAATCGGACATACCGCGCGGGGACAACCACCCGAGTTTTGTTCGTAGGTCGGAGACATGGTCAAATTTACGGCGGCCGAAAATAACTCTAGCGGCGAAGTTAAGAATTTTTTGGAGTCGATCGAAATTTTTTTGGGACCCATTACCATAAACTGAAAGGCAGTACTGGATACGCGATACAACGAGTGCCGTCACGAGCGTTCGAATGATGCCATCTGGGAGACAGTGGCGCGCATGTGAAAGACCAATCAACAGTCCCGTACACCGGCGGCAGAGTTCAGAGACGTGTGCGTCCCATGACATAGTGCTGTCAAAAGTGACGCCAAGGTTCCCGACTTGTGCGCACGGTTGCAACGCTGCGTTGCGGAATGGTACTCTAAAGTCTGGTAATTTACGAAGATTTTGACGAGTGCCAAAAAAGTTCAATTTAAGAAATGCATGTATCATGGTCGTGAAGTAGTCACGAGAAATTGCCAAGATTCACTTCAAGATTTTGGAAAATGCGGAACGATAATCAATAATCGAAGATAGCTATTTGATTGTTCATGGCATTGGTAGTCTAATGGCGTTTACGGCATGTCTGTATGTCTATTCTATGATTTTATATGATTTTTTAACATACCTATGCCGTTTTTGGTCGAAAACTCAGAAATCATAACGTCACTAAAACCTCGATATCTCAAAAATTTGGCGACCGATTTTTGTGAAACTTTGTCACAATAAACTTCAATTAATTCACTGTTTTTATGCTATGGCCCGGCGAAAAAAGTGGGGGCGTTTAACGCCCCCCCCCCCCCCAGCAACTCGCGGGCTAAGTTATTATTACTCATATCAAGCAACTGATGACGAAATAGGCGGTCAAGTGCTTCGTCGAAATTGCCACGAAGCTGCATTAATAACCGTAAAGAAAGTATTTTGAACTACCTACATTACCTTCCCCTGTGACAACTGTAAGGTAAGGTACGATATATTGCAGTCAGATGGGAGATGGAAAGAGTAGAAACACGTCGACGAGCCAGACGAACTTACCCTTCTGCTGTTCTCTTCGGAATATCCTTCATGAATTCCAGATAGTCTGACATGCTTGGGTGGTCAACACCGATGCTGCTGCTAGATCCCAAAGGGTCTCTCGAAGGCGACTCCTGATGGTCAGGGATAATCTCCTGAAACAAAAATAAAAATATTCATCTGTAAATGTGCAACAAAGTTGTTTTAAGCCGCGCCGTGCTGATGGTATGAGTTTTCCACGCGGTGCTGGGGAGGGGGGTCACGCCCCCTCTAACTCGGTTCCTGGGCCACGTAGCGACACGCGGTAAGTGTTAATCGGAAGAGCGTAAGAAATAACGACGGAAATACTTCGGTCATTTTTTAGGTCAGGTCACCAGGGTTCATCAAAGGTCAAATTTTGTCTACTCGTATTTCAACAATTTTCGAAACCCCCGACGCGTGACTCGGGAACCAATAGAGCCACAGCGCCGCGGAAAAGCGCATTCGATAGCTTTTCCAAAGGCGTTTCTGCGTGTTGCCCTCAGATTTGACCTCAGGTCAACGGTTTAGCCTCTAGAGGGCAAACACTCTAAAAAATAGCCGTTTTTACGAAAAAAAATATGTAATACCTACCTTTTGATTCAAGAGAGTCTAGACATTCATTTTGCCTACATCGTGTTCCTCTTGTCGAAACGCGTCGAATGAACTATAGTTTGACATTGAAAGGTCATTTTGAAAATCTGACCTCAGGTCAATGTCATGACCTGACCGGAGAAGGTCATGTATATCAGTCGATCCATATTCCATATAGTCGAGCTGACCACACCTGTGGTGTTTCCAACGCTCTAGCATGTCTCTATCAAACGTTATTGTAAAAAAAAGAACTGCTGGTGACCTTCCATGACCTGAGATGACTTCTGGGGTATCAGGAGGGGTCACAGGTGAAATTTTCCTATTCAATGTGTCAAGTTGAACTGTACCACGATGTGAGTGTGTCTAGAATGGTGTTCGTCCAAAGCAGCCGCCTTTCAATTTTCTCCTGTTGACTTATAATGGAGAGGTCGCAAAATTGACCTGACCTTAAGTCACAGATAGAAAAATTTCGAGATAAACTTGTATCCACACTGTTGCTCTTATCAATCGCCGAAAATTTCAAAACGATCGTTAAGTCGGTGCAGCTATGGCGAGCATCGTCTCCCCCCTCCCGTCCCGAGCACGGCGAGGGTTAAAGGGACTGTCCCACCTTTGCATTAGTTCTGAGTTGAGATAGCAAAGTTGGTGGCCAGGTTCAGAAACCACTATTTATCCTGGTCGCAATATCCTCAGCTTCGTGGTGTTAAAGAAATTCGTTCCCTTCATTTGAAAAGTGGGCCTTAGCTAAGACCCTATCTCTTAAATCTCTTTAACTGTAGACAGTTAAACTAACTATAACTATAGTTAACTATAGTTAATAGTTAAAGAGATAAAGAGTTAATAGTTAATAGTTATATGTAGTTCTAAAAGGTGGGCGACGCTACCAAATTTTTGAAACCGCTCCCGTTACTTCCCGCTATCTTGGTTATTGGGAAACGAACTGATACCGCTACTACCTACCCCTACTTTTCTGATTTGCAGAAGTAGGAACTCCGGCCACGGGTCAAGATCGAGGGAAGAGGGTAACAGTAAGTGCGTGAATAGGTCTATACTTGGGTTTATGTCAACTGCGAGTTCGTTCACCCGGTTCACCGTCGCTGTATCATGTCGCCTCTGGTTCGTGTTAATATAAGGGAAGTACCAAAATAAATATCAAGTGCGTTTTCAAGTCACCATGGTAACTACCACCATCTGAGCGAAATGGCATAGTTGCGTAAGAAATGTATCTGCTCGCGTCGATTTCAAGTCACGGTTGACTGTGTTGGTGACGAATGTTCGGTACAAGGGCTCCGCCAGGGTCTCGGGCTTGGGGGTTCCAACCAAGTTCCAACCCAAAAATGTGCACCCCTATGCGGACGGATGGCTGCATTACGGAAGTGAAGTTATTGGGGAAGGCCGAAGGGGAGGGCGCCCGCGGACCCCCGCGATCGCAACAGGTGGTTCGGTATGTCTGATATCGACCTCTGCCGTCGTACCGGAGTAGCGGAATTAGTTTTCAAGCGGTAAGCCCGCGACCCGCTTTTGATCATTTTTGGCGATTGGTTCCGCTATCCCAAGGCCGCCATCCGCTACTCCACTACGCACACCCCCGGTAGCTATAGTTATTAGATTGAGATGTTCACTTCTGTCTTCTATGCGTATCAACATAACTGACCCCTACCCAAATATTGACAGCCGAAAGGTAAGCTTGAATTGAATTGATGCAGAAATTTAGTCATTTTATGCGCATCAATAAATGTCCCTTTATAGAAGCGTCGAGAAAAAGATATCCATACCTGTGGGTCGATTTCCTCGTCCATTTTGTAGTGTTACTCCCTCACGCTTATGCTCTCATCCTGAAAGCGAAAAAGAATTATTTACACGCCATCAATCCCTCCTTCAAACTCTAATTGACTGACATAGGATGAAATTACAAACAATTGCCTGAATCTCAATCGTTGAGATGCAAAAGACTGAATCTCAATTAGACAGGAATGTCAGCATATAATTCAAGAAAACAGCTCTTGACAGCTTAGACAAAAAGCATCTTATGTGTTGACTGTTGCACCATATATGAGTAGAAATGGTAAAATATCGACCATTACCGAAAACAAAACACGAAGAAACGAAATGACAGACGTAAACCAGAAGCAACCAAATTGAATTATTTTTCTGCTTCGGTAAACAAATCATCTCTATATCCCTGAAGTTTCAAAACTTTATTGCTTACCACAAAGAAATGTTATAATTTGAAAAGAAACTATCTTTAAAACGTGACAAACAAATCTCAGCTCTCTTGAAATATTAAGTGTCAAATTGTTTTGGTAAAATTAAGCTCAACAATAGGTGTAAGTGTCACGCGCAGAGCATGCGCTACATCCCCTCAGTCAGAGGTCTTCAAATCCTTCAAATACCGTACTGTCTTTTAGAGCTGCCAATTTACATCACAGCGAACAGCAGTTTCATGTCTCACGGCGTGGGCGACGTGGGCTAGTAAGGGCAGTGATGAGTGAAGCCAACAAAGCATGCAGTAAAATAACGGCTTTTCTTTGGGTTAACCCTCTTCTGGGCGGGGGGAGGGCCGATTTGCCCCCCCCCCCTCCCTCAGGTTTTTTCTTGTGCCATTGCCAAATGCCGCAAGACTGAAAGCTCATACTCGGTGACTTTTCCTAAACATTCATTGCGCACATTCTGACAAAAGAAAGTTGCCGGGTCAGGTCAGGTCAGGTCAGGTGGGTCAGGTCAGTTCAGGTCGCCAGAGGTGGTTTGTTGACCCCAATTCAGAGAAGTTTGCAATCACGCCAGAGCTAGAGTTTTTGACTGATCAATTTCTTCTCTTGAGGTTTTAGTTAGGGTACAAGTATGTGCAATTTGTATACCTATCTCATAATTTTTATATCTGTGACCTGAGGTCAGGCCAGATTCATGACTTTTAATTACAAGCAAGGGTGCGGAGCCGGAGCCGGAGCCGTGAAACAATACCTATAGCCCGGAGCCGGAGCCGCAGCCGTTAAAGAAGGCGGTGACTCCGGCTTAATTTATTTATTTATTTATTTATTTATTTATTTATTTATTTATTTATCTTTCTTGAAGAGGAAAAATAATTAATTGACCTACATAGTTCGGCTTGACAGTACAGGGCAGTAAAACGTGTGGTACGTTATGGGCCATCACGTACCTAAATGAAGCTGAATACGTATCTCCAGTGGGCAGTGCCTACCAATCAACCTCAAAAAGTTAGTAAGGAATTGCTAAATAGTTGCCTGAATTGCTGAAGGATTCAAATCGATCTGTCATTTGGCTAATGGCTATGACATGCATTTGAACTTATTTTGAGGTGAGGTCACTTGAGCTGACCTGGTGACCCAACCATGAGAAACATTGATTTGAAATTTTCACAACACATGGAAGAAATAGGTATGCGTAATGGCCCTTTCTAGACATCTGTGAAAACCGCATGGGGGTATTCAACCCCCCCCCCCCCCCCCCAGCAGGGTGCGGATCAATAATGCTGAGATGAATTATCGTAGCCTCTAAATCTTCTCGGATCGCCCATCCTGGGATCAGTGGGCTATACATACCTACTGGTATAGAGTATAGAGCCTTGTCTGATCCGACCGTATATGCAAATGAGAAGCTGGCTCAATGAGCTTCGGCCCTAGATATCATCACTCGACGAGATTGCTGTGATAAGGTTGGTCAGTGGGCCTGGCCGTGTACATACCTATGTAGTTTTTTTTTAGTGAAACGGTATTTTAGTGAAACCCTGTAGCTACATACCTATACCTATACGGACATGTTAGACGTTTGACTCGTTTGACTCGATAGGGCGATATGGTCTCTTACTTCATAAAACTAAAGCTCCGACATGTTCCTTTTATCACCATTCGCCCCATCACTCCTCTTTGAAGAAGAAGAGCGCTGGTTTAATGTTGTTTTTTTGTATTACGCAAACTTTTGTATGTACCTATTAAAGTAGTTAATTTAGCTGCGTAAGCTTTCTCGTTCCTTTTCGGCGATTTTTGTTTTATTTTATTTTCTTTCATTTTCATTTGTTTTCGCTTAGTTTTGTTTAGTTTATTTATGCGTGAACTTCATCGTAAATTATCACCCAAAGCTCATACCTTTAGGTAGTTTCCGCCGCTAAGCTGGACAGTCAGGCTGTTGACTCTCTTCTTGCGTCAGGTTTATGTAACTATAAGCTTTTCATGTCAATTAATTTCGTTCGCGTGGTTGATGAATTTCGAGCAATGCACTCAAATGTTAGATGGACTATTTTCACCCGACATGACTCCGCAATGGTGAATTGGCGTGGCCAAGCCACAACAGGGCCAGTCCTCATGCGCCTGTGAGTGGACCAGACCAGGGACGCGCACGGCGCACTGCGTCACAGTGCACGCCGGCTGCTGCGGTCAAGCGATACTACAATAGCCACTACATGCGACCCTCCACCTCGCCTAACAAACGCACGAACATAAACAGAATAAGCTTATAAAAACAAACATAAATTGTGCAGCTGATACGCTCTGACCGTCACCTAACTACATTCGGGCGACGTAGCTGTGTTACCCGAACACGCACTGCCATATCACTTTTACCCGACCGTGACCATATGCGACCCGGGAAACGTAACTGGTGTGATTACTGAATGAGCTGCCATGCCGACGCTGCAGTGAAGCTCTGCTTCGGCTCGAAGACCAGGAGTAACGTCATTTACGTCTTACGTGACTCCCGACTCGCAGGTGCATCTCGTGCCGGAACGTGCCTATGATAAGCATAAGTCAAATTACTCCATACGATTTGCGAATAATATGAATACCCCATATGCCTATGAATTGGGTTTTAATGTTCCCATTTGCATGGAGGCATATTTGCAGATTCGCCGTTAATGGCGCCAAAGTGGTTGCATACAGCACACTGACGCCAAGTGAATGCAATGCGAGGTTTTGAGAGGTTTTGGAAACGCCTCCCTTTTAGAGGATATATAATTGTTATCGCATGATAATTGTTTTCAAAATTAAAATTTTACAGGACAAATTGACATAAGCCAAGGACATAAGCATTTTAAGTGCCGCCGAAGCTCACACTATTTTTACTAGGGACTGCAAGAAACTTATCCGTACATAGTTGGAAAATGGTTGTGCTTGGTTTAACTTTAAGTGAAGCGACGTAATGCAATATTAAACCCGAAGCAGAACAACTAGAATACATGCCTCATACTTCGTAAAAATTGTGCTTTGAAAATGCATGACATTCAGCCGAAAGGCATCGATTATTACGGGGTCCTTGAACTGGAGAAACATGCTTCCCTTCAAGAGATCAAACAGGCATTTCGACGATTGTCCCTCAAGTTCCATCCAGTGCGAAACCCCGAACGCTTCAAGAAAGAGCCGCAACGGTTTCGGCAACTCTGTGAAGCATATGATGTTTTGAGCAATCACCAGAACAGGACGATTTATGATCAATACGGCGAAGCAGGACTCAAACGGGGAGTCCCGCGCCCAAACGGTGGCTTCACCGACCCTTACGTGTTCGTTGGTGAGCCGGAGGATATTTTCTGCGACTTTTTTGGCACGAATAGCCCTTATGCTGATTTAATTGATTGCACTAAAAAGGCATTTTCCCAGTACCAGGGTGATGGCGGCACGCAAGAGCGCAAGAAAGCACCGAACCTGGTAACACCGCTAGTGCTCAGTCTCCAGGAGCTCTACACTGGCTGCCTGAAGAAGGTGCGCGTCAGTCGGCGGGTGCTGGACGACAGTGGCACCACCACCACCCTGCGCGAGAAGATCCTGACTCTGCACATCGAGCCCGGCTGGCCGGCCGGCAAGACGATCACTTTCCGCGAGGAGGGCGACCAGGGTCCCAACATCATACCGGGTGATCTTGTATTTGTTCTGGAGGACGCGCCGCACGCGCACTTCGAGCGTGACGGTCACGACTTGATCTACCGAGTGCGCGTGCCGCTGGTGCACGCGCTGACCGGCTGCAGCGTGGACGTGCAGACTCTGGACGGTCGTCTCCTGCACATCAGCGTGCATGACGTGGTGTTCCCGGGCTTCGAGAAGGTGGTGCGCGGCGAGGGCATGCCTGCGCCGACTCAGGAGCGAGACGGACTACCGCCGGCCAACCGTATGCCGAGCAAAGGCAACCTCATCATCAGGTTTACGGTGGAGTTTCCCCGTCGCCTGTCGCAGATGCAGCGACACGCTCTGCGTGCCGTCTTGCTGGCAGGCACCAAGTAAGCCCGAACGAAGTGAATGGCTCGAACATCCGATTGAGGTCGGCTCTAGACCTACGAACCGACGACATTACGAAGGACTAACTTGCCAATGGCACAAGACAAGAAAGTTGACACGCGTTCTAACTAGGATGCTTCGAAATGTAATAAAATGCATCCAATGTTCAGGAATTCGATGCGATCAGGTGTCATTCATTTTATGTTTTAAGGGCGCTATTAATTCATGCGCAAGTGCTTACACAAATGTGCAATAGGTAAAGGGTACACGTCACGGTGAAAGCGTTTGCCATCTTAGCCAGTGCACACTTAATGTTAATCGTACACTTACAAGGCAAAACCAGATATATGCGTTTCGTAATAAAATTGAAATAAGCTTGAGTAGGTAATCAGCATTCTCTGTAATTGCCACTGGCATAGCTATTGCCAATTGCCATTAGTTCATTTCAAACGAATGCCCGGGTGTTCCGACTCCATGACCTTACCACACACATATGCAGGTTCTTTAGGCATGCATGACTTTTGCACGTTTTCCACGACTGAGTGAACATTTCCGGCTTCGCGCCCTCTGCGCTCAACCTTGAGCCTCCGTCTTCTCTGAATTACTCTGGCTAATGACAATTCTTCTCAACATCACAGCTTCGCAGCACGCAAATCTCTGGCGGCGGAATCAGTCGAGCGAAGAATTCCAGAGGCCCGTGAATTCCCGACGGCCTAATGTCGTAATTTGCATTTACACATATTTTACTCTCCCGATTTAACTTCAATGGCCCTGGCTTCGATGCCTAACCGTTGAAGTATGTAATCATCAACATCGCCAGCTCTAAATCCAACTCACTCCATCTCGACTCCACTTCCGAGCCTGCCAACGGCGAGCGGGGTCACCGGGTGCGAGGTCAGGTTCGGGACCCGCTTCCGGGCTGACCCTGAACCATGGTGCGTGCCCGTCCGTCCAGTACCTATCCATCGCCATCGCCACTGATGGCCACTTCTCGCGCCTGAGCGGAGACGGGGCGCCGAGCACGGCCGGCCGAGCACGGCGCCACAGCCGGCCCCCGGCCGTGCCCCAGCGGGCCTCTCACCGCCGTGCACGACGCGCATGCGCGTCCCGATTCTGGGGCCTGAGACGGGCTCACACCAGTAGTGTTTGAGCTGCGGCGGAGTGCGCTGGTCGCCTCCCGCGCGCGGCATCGTCGCTGTGCGACGCGTAGTGTGTCTGTTGACCTGCACCATGTTGCAATACTGCCCGCCGTGCGATCCGGACCGGCTGGTACCGAGTCTGTCGCCGCCCCTGGACCACAGCCTGCTGGACAACATGCCCATGTACCAGCAGGATCACACTTGTCCTCAGGTGAGCACCCGCGAACGGGGAGCGATTTCGGGTAACTCCTGGTGGCGCTGGCATATCCCTAGAATGGAATGTCTACAGACATCAGTAGATAAACATCAATAGATAAGTCCCTCGAGAGAGGCGCAGCTTGAGTTGCTTGGACGTTCCCAGGCCAGGACGAGGCGGCGATGGGGTGTCTACGTGCAGAGGCGTTCCCAGGCATTCCGATCTCGGGGAAATGTAGGCTCGACGATGTTTCCGGGTAATAATATTGGGGCGAATGCTTGCTCAAAGGCCTTCCAGCTCGCAGCGAAGCGATTGCGCTAAGACTCGGAAGAAGCAAGGTACATATCTATGAACTGAACTCATTGACACAATTGCATTTTTTTCGTGGATAGCACAAAAACGGTTCTCGCACAGAGAGCTCAGATATGTGCATCGAATGTAATATGTCCTCAGTTTTGTCGCAACTTTTGTCCACGTATGAGTGCTATGAGGTTATTTCACGATTTGACGTACGGCTGATTTCGCACATCGTCGGTTGTGTATGTGCATGCCCTGAGCAGTGAGAATGTGTATCTTGTGTTTGTTGGCCTTGCTTTGTTTAATTTATGTCCGCCATGCCATTCATGTAGGTACCTATGCCGGATGAGAACTGGCACCCGTGGTTGCCATTTCGAGGTCACGCTGGACCCGTTGACCTCGGAATGCCCATATAAAGCGCATTGGTGATCTGTGCCGTTCTAAAATTTCTGATGCTGCCTGTTCCGAATCTGACTTTTAGGCATCTGAAAAAACTTGTGCACTGCAGCGCTCACATGTCTAAGGTCACACTAGGTCAATGACTTTTGTCGTATTGGCTTGAAGCTGGAAGCATTTCGGCTTTTGCCGTATTCGAAGTGGTTACCTCGGCTCAGCTGTTACGGCATCCCGAATCTCCATGTGTTTTCTTGCCAATAACTTTACAAAGTCATGATTTGTAAAACATCGCATCATGACCAAGGCCCTCAAATGACCCAAAATTATTGTTTGTGCTTCCGATTGTTTGTGTGTGCTTACACTTGTTGTTATTGATTTATTGTTGTGTATTGGGCGTTTTTTTTTTAACGTTTATCGTAAAAGTGCATGGTTCGTAACTTTATTGGTAATTGGTACCTAATGGTAATTGGTAATCTATGGAGTTTGCTTTAGTTAAAAGAGCGCAGGTACCTAGCTTTTTGGCATTTGAGGATCACCCCAGCTTTACTAAAAGGCATTCACGAGTAGCTTTGAGCTTCCGCTCATATAATTCTGATGGCATAGTGTACCTAAGCGACAAGCGTCAATGACGACATAGTTGTGTGCATTCCAAATAGATATAACCTTTTCACTTGTAATGGAACGTTTAAATTGCGTTTACCTAAATCCGGACTGCAATCGATTTGCTACAGCCTGTGCGTTCAGTTCAGTTAAAGTTAATTTGCTTGTAGGGCAAAAACAAACAAAAGAATAAAACACAATCGTTGATCAATCGGAGGAAAAATTTAAACCAATGACCCCTCTCGTCGTTTTGTCCTTATAGCTTCGCAGAAAATACGAGCATGTTGAGAGTCATGCTCATTGCTCACAAGACACATGTAGCATGGTGCCTAATTGAAGACGTTAGATGAACTGTGGACTTCTGAACTCTGGTTCTTAACGCATATGTTGGGTTTCCATATTTTGTTTGGGAGACGTCAATTTTGCTTAGTGTCGACCTTAGGTCAATTTTAGGTCAACGTAAAAATATGTGAGATTGGCAATACATACTCTTCTACACCATAGGCGGCGGAACGGGGGGAGCACCGGGGCACCGTGCCATTTTAACATTAGCCCTATGGACGTTGCATGCAAAGAATGGGACCAAAAGTCGGCAGTGCCCCCCCCCCCTTAATTGAAGGTGTTCTGCCGCTACTGTTCTACACCACTACTCAAAATTATAACCCTCTCGTTCATTTAAGGTTTCAACTTTGAAATTGCTGGATCCGCCAGCGCCCAGAGTGGCGCCCAGCTTAAACACCCACTACGTTACTTATGGATGATGCTTGTGGCGCTTGTGACCTGACCTTATGGTGACCTCTGATCGGAATGCACCTGCTGAAGGTCTAATCATGCTCTATGAGAAAATTTGTGTGATGACATGATCCGTGAAGTCCCCAGGACTCTTGTTCATGCACCATTCCCCAGATTGGCGAGGGTTATAAGTGACTATAGATTGCCCACATTAAAGTCATCCGGTGATCAAGTTTGTAAATACTACAATCACAGTGTCTCTTTTCAGCAGCTATATAGGGCATTGAGCCACTCACTATAGTGCTCTGTCGCGCAAAGTTCCCGTGATATGGGCCCTCGGCTTAGATAGGAGCTCAAGTCAAGTACATCCGCAAGCAGCACAGAATACCGGCGATTATAGCGGCGATTAGCTTGATCGCATGTTACGTATAGGTGATGTTGAACTTGAAGCAAACATTGAACAGTGTAACCACGTGTACGCGGAAATGATTAGTTCATGCATAAATACGAGCACACACTGCACATCATGCATATCTACTCTACGTCTACATACATATTGAACCCTGTTATTTGATACAAAGGTGTGCGCCAATCCACTATCCATTGAAAACTGTTTATTGTACGTATTGAGTGAAATAAACGAAACCAAACTGAAGGCATGTGTAATTGGCGTACGCATATAGCGCCGATACCTTTATTACCAGTAACCGAACGTTTATTCAATCGCAATATTGCAGTGGCTACCTAGCTGTGGAAGATATGTTCCAGGTTCCTACGTGATATCAATGCACGTGGGACCCGGACTCAGTCTACCGTTTTCATAGGAAATGTTGGTTCTGTAGTCCTTTTCTGAGCGAGCATCTCATTGTGTTGAGCTTTTGGGCTCGGAATGGCGCTATTTTTCAGGACAGCTTTTTAAACTGAATATATAGGTATTGCAGGCGTTGCTGGTCACTATGAACATTTTTATTGATTGACGATGGTCAATTATTGAAAAGAGAGCGGTCGCTAAACAATCACGTTTCAGCGATCAGCGATGTTTGACCGCAGCGATCTCCATGGTCGCTTTGCTGACCGTTGCTCTGGTGTTTGGGCAGATGGAGGACGACATGGACGGGTACCTGACCAAGCCGGGCTGGTCGGCGCCGCTGGAGGTGCCGGAGCCGGGCGAGCTCGACTCGCTGGTCAGCTCTCTACCCGTCGAGTCGGCCGTGTCCGATCAGCCCCGGCGCGAGTCGGCCTCGCAGATCGACGAGTTTTTCACGGCGGCCGTGCGCCGCCGCTCGTCCTACATGGCGATCCTGTCGGCTCTGCGCGGCATGGAGGAGGACGAGCTGGCCTCCAAGCCGGAGGAGGGCTGCTCTGCGCAGCTGCCGCCGGCCGCTGACGCCGCCCTGACGGCGCTGCCGCCGGGCCCGGCGCCGCTGCAGACGGTGCCGGCGCCGGCGGCCGCGCAGTGGTTCTCGGGCCGCTACTGCCTGCCGCCGACGCCGCCCATGTCCGAGTCGGGCTCGCCGCCGCCGCCGCCCTACTGCCGCGGCCCGCCGCCGGCCTGGATGGCGCAGCAGCTCATGTGCGACCGGCGCCAGCTGCTGGGCGAGCTGCGCCAGCGCGCCGAGTCGCCCTCCGCCGAGCGGCGCCGCTACAACCGCCGCAACAATCCCGAGCTCGAGAAACGCCGCGTCCATCGGTGCCATTTTGTCGGTACGTATAATTCTTCCTATTCTCTTCACAATATTACAACTGGCTTAGATTTATCCAAAAGAAGAGAAATAAGTAACACTCCGACATTTGACACACATGTTGCGTTCATGTGGACCCCTCTCACTTAATTTACCTGAGCTCAATATAACCCCTTCTATAAAGCATACATTATCTCAGTTAATGGCATTATCCCAGATCATCATTTCGCATCGATTAAGCGATATTATTTTTTGTGTTGATTTGTCAAAATGATTTTGATGTGATGAAAATTGTGCCTATTTTTAACGTTTTTTTTTTCTTTAATCCAGACAGCTGGGAGTAACACAGTTACCTCAAACCAATTAAATTTCATGGACTTTGTTGGTAACGGCGATGTTTGTTGAACACGTAGATCGTGATGAGAGCACTTAGTTATTCATTCATTAGCGTAAGACATGGACATCTTGTATTTATTTAAAAACCGATTTTGAAGTGATGACCCTCCGCTCTTACTAGCAATCGCGCTGAACAAAGGCAACCAAAAGGTCAGTTTTTAGTCGGTACACTAGAACTGCATCCCACCGTGTGATAAAACACATGCAAGAACAAAGTGCATGCATGTGACGTTTGGCGTCACACGTGTGACGCTCGTCACGTTTGGCCAGGAGACCCACAGTGTACACACACAGTATAACGAATTAGACCCGCTAGCTCATACGTCACTTACTCGAATCCGAGATGTTTTTCGCGAACGAGCCTGTCCCGTAGCTCGTGTGACGCGGTTCCCCACGGCCCACGGTGGCCGCCATTTGGCCCACCGATGGTGCACTTGTGTCACGTACCCATCGCCGGCATAAAAAAGCTGAGCAAACAAACACAGTACATCGCCCCGCGGTATGTGACCCGGGAGCGTAGCCGACCCAAAAGAGAACACCGTCTGTGTTTTGATAACTGTGTCGATTGGTGCCAACTGCCAGCTCCACTCCTCGATCGGTTCAGGTTCCGATTTCTCGATCGGTCCTCGATCGGCCCCATCCTTTCCAATGGGGTGCGCCAGGGTGCCACGGTGCTTCTGATTCTGCTGGGTATATTGTTGAGATTATTTATTCAGCTAGGTTTACCCCAGTCCGTCGTGATCGGACAGTTTGGACGACAGGCAACGGTGGTAATGGCGTCTGGGACCTTCAACATTTTACGAACTGCGCAATTCGCGATACCCTCTCGTATCAAAGATTTTCCTTAAATTGATTCCTGAACTTGCATGTGTTGTGTATGGTAAATACATGCGAGGCAAAGTTCCGGTTATTTTTGCGAGAGACATCGTATGCCGGAATGTCCTCAACCCGAAAGAGGCCTTCCTGAGCTGCAACGTGTGCACTTTGCACCTCAGAGCGCAGGTATTCACCAGCCAGAGTAAAAGTTGATTCGGAAGGTTGGAGCGAGAACGTTTCCGGCTGTCTCAAGGCCTCTTGGATCAGACTTTTTAACCGCAATCGGATTAGCCGCTGATTGTTAACTGTTATGCATGCATTGGCTTTGCTGCAGTGCTCTTTGAAAGTCGTTACTGCTCGTTGATGCTTACGTTAAAGGTTAAATTGGCAATTATGTGCAGGTTTTTGCTCCACTCGTGACTATCGGTGTCGATAATTTTGCACTTGAATTCTGCCCCGCGTGTAATGTGCCACCGAGAAGTTCGGTGCCGGTACCGCGGGTCTGTGAGAGCGGGGCCGATCGGGTCTGCGACTCTGCAGAGCGGGCCTCCTCTCGGCCCCAGCGGCCGCCCGGCTCGGAGGCATGCCACTCGGGCAGTCCACTATCACCCCAGCCGGTCCAGTCGTGACGTCATCGGCTGCCGGACCGGTCCCTATCTCATGCGCGCTCACGAAAGCCGGCGATTTATCTCTCACCACCGGCTAAGTCTGTGCTAAGGTCAAACGGACGGACATGAGTCGCGGTCCATTTTTTACTTATGCTGTCACGTTGTCGCTGAGCCGTGCTCAGTCCCGGAGTGCTTATGTGTTTTTCAGCGTGAAGTTGTATTTGTATTTATCTAATACTTTTGATAGACTTCATCAACCATAAACCTGTCAATGCTCCTTGCACAGGTTTAAAGAAGGTCAAAGGGTACGTAAGCGGGCAAGTCAATTATTATGCCTCAGAAGTAAACCTGCAATAACAGTGGAAGTGGTCTGCGAAGGAACATGAATATTCGACTCGTTATGGAAGATTTGGTCAGCACTCAGCAAGGTGTTCAATGCTGTGGCATGCGACAACGGAGCAATTATCCCTTCGAGATTTTCTTTACTATGTAGTGCGTGCGATAGGCTCGGGTCAAATTGATGGTGAGCGAGCGGGGTTTGAAACAAACTGTCATGTAAACCAATGCTCGATAAAATTTCGGATACGAAACCGATCTAGGAACGGAAGAAAATACAAATATGAATAATCTTTGATGCATGACAAATTTCGTGATTCCAAGACCTTCTTTAGATAACACACGTGCGCTGCAGGTCTTCGGTTCAGAAGTGGCTGAGGTAGGAAGCATATCTTGCCAGTGTGCTTTATCTTTGGAACATTTGCTGCGCTGAAGTGCATTGTATACATGTGCTTGTGTGCGTGCGCGAGCCGATGTGTTACTTGTATGGATTGGGGTGCAAGAGGTAACCTTTGAATCAGCTATCTAACTAACAGACAGACATACAGACAGACAGTGTCGCTCGTAACAACTGCAGATCTCGAGGAAGGTTACTTAGAGGTTATGGAGGGTGGCCGTGAAAACATTGCGCAATTTGCTTTATAGGCTGCGTAGTGGCATGCACAGTATAAACAATCCGATCTTTGTTATGCTTCTTCCAGCGACGCGAGGTTTCAAACAGTGTCCTCTCTTCTGCTCTCCCCCTCTCTCTCCCCCTCCCACAATGCTCTTCCCTCTCCCAACTAAAATATAACTATAAAAATATAAGTACAAAAATAGTTTACTGCACACCAATATAACTATTGGTGTGCACTTTTAGTTGAATAAGTGCACACATGACGAGGCAAATGCGATATTGAAACTTTCCTCTGTTGAATATGCAATAAAGCGATATTTCAGGAAATTTCCTAGAAATGTTTTATACGCTCACTACCGGATATCACAGGGAAAGTATGACGCACACACACATACACACAAACGAATTATACCAGTAGGTAAATTAGCATCCACTCAACGACATTGTCTTTAGAACAAGCACTCCCTTTGTGCGACCACATCGCTGAGGCCATTGCGAAGTAATTTTCCCCTTTATGACTTAATAAATCATACTACTAAAAAGATTAAAGAACATTTAATTCAAGAGTTAGAGGCACATGTTCACAAGTCACATTTAACAGAGGAAATTAAGCATAGAGCGAGCCAATTTGTTTGCAGCTCATTTTCTACATCTTGACATTTTTGACCGTATTATCCAAGGCTAACATTAGATAGTTGTATTAATTGTCCTTGTCTTTGGCCGACAGGATGCACCAAGGTCTACACCAAGAGCTCCCACTTGAAGGCTCACCAGCGGACGCATACAGGTAAGTGATCGACCACAGAGACATGTGGTCCTGTGCCGTGTGGCGCGCTGTGTGACATGTATCACTCGTTTCGTTCAGTCGTCCTGTGAGATATGTACATGTGCTCCAGCTGTGGATGGGATGGAATCTGTAGATGATGTCACTGGTGACGACCGTACCGAATGACGTCAGGTGGTTATTTTTGGGAGCTGGGGTGACAGTTCGCGCCCGAAAGTGCTAAAATGAAATGTATTTATCGGCATGTTTGAATAAACGTAAATTCTATAGATAAAAATGCAATAATAAATCTAGAATATCAATAAAATAGTAGATTGTTGCACCATTAGAAAACATAAATAAGGATAGCGTTGAGATAAACGCTCGCGGTATACTTTTTGTCGGTTAATTGTCACGGTAAATATCTTCACAAATCAAGGAATGTCTGCTCTTCCATGATGGGTACCCTAGAGTTAGAGGCACATGTTGCTCTTCCATGATGGGTATACTGGTTCCATGATGATGGGAGTCCACTATACTGGTTCATCTCAATAGCGCGATTTTTTCGGAATATTTTACCCATTCAGATCTATTATCGACCGATTTTCTCTTTTATGGTTAATTTAAAATTTCATTTTAGTGTGGGCTAAATATGTCAATGGCTTCGGCTAGAAAGGCCGTACTTATTTTTGTACGTGTATTTCTTTAATTCTTTCATGTCCTTTCTTTTGCACAGCACAGTCCCAATTACCGATGGTGATAATTTATTGTCTTGGTAATTAGGTCGTTTGATGCAGTCAGACGATCAGTCAGGCAGTCACTCCATTCTGGCCCTGTCAGCCGCCCAGGCACCGTGGCCATCTCGCCGTGTCGGCTCTAAGTACACACATTGCTCACGAGGAAGGCGCGCTGGCCAGTTCGGCTGAGTCCAGGATTACCTGTCCGTGTCCATGTTGTATCCATGGCGGGGGCCGGCCGGGTGGGCCGCGCCGCGCCGCGCCGCTCCGGCCACTTGCAGGCCGCGATGGCCGCCTCAGGACCGGTCTGCACGCTGACGTCACGGCCATGCTGACGTCACGCCGCTGCCGCGCTGACCTCGGAGTACCACCGCGCGTCCGAGCCGTGCAGCCGATGCAACAGTGTCTTGCAACGGCACAGGGTCAGGAACTGCCCGTCAAAAACTGACACCCGCCACTTCCTCCGCGTGGGTATACGTCTGTCTGCCGAGAATTTGCTGAAACAATATTTAAACATCAGTTGAACGATTTCCATGACGTGTCTTTGTTGAAGAAGCAGTTGAAAAATATTTGCAATGTCATGCACTTGGATTATCATCTTTTTCGAGCAACGCACTTTGCAAATATTGATAATGAAAATATCGCCATTCACCGAACCGCTATATTGATTGCTTGATGACTCGTACGATACGATGATTTCGTAGTTTCTTGTGTGCGAAGGCCTTGTCACTCTGTCAGTGCAAGTGCACGGCTCGGCCAGCTCAGATGCCGGCCGGCAGTCGTGCAGCTATGCTCCGAATATCGTGGCAGTGCACTGGCCCGGCACGGCTCGGGCGCATGGCGGTGCTGACGCAATCGTCTCGGGAAACCGGTTGTTGTACGACGGATCGTGGCTGAGACAGCCGCGATTTGGCAGCCTCTTTTTGGGAAGAATGCTGGCTCACAAGTCACACTGTACCAGCATCGAATCCCGTATATGTTCAGAGTGGCAGAGGGAAATTGCGCGTCCAGCTGCACAGAAAAAGTAATGCATTGGAATGGATGTTACGATACTGTATATCACTAAGGTGTATGCTTATTTTGGGCGATTACCTCCATTCGCATCGACAACACCGTGACAACGGCATTTGTTTATGCACGACCGGTACTGAATTCTCAAAGAGAAAGCCAAAAGAAGTTCAATGAGACCGGTTAGTGAATTATACCAGCACATCCTCATGAGGGATGTTGCAGAGGACCTGTCTGACAATTGAGCGGGCAGCTGTGCAGGCCACCCTCCTCCGCCCGGCAATTGATGGGGCGGATGTCCCCGACACCAAGAGGCTGTGTCGGAGCCGAGCAGTGGACGGTAGTTGCTGCTGGCGTGTGCAGCTCTATCTGACCGGTCGGCACGTGCTACACGGCCTGTGCCGGGTATCAGCAGTGCAGTTTGTCTGTACGACTCGGCACGGCACAGAGGCACAGGGCACAGGGCGGCACGCGCCAGCAGTAGCACGAACGCCGCACTCCTGTTTCGGATTCTTGCCGATCGCATTTATAAGACCGGCAGTTGGACTTGCTGGTCAGGTTTTATAGCTGAACAACATTATAAATCCCATTAGGTAGGTACTCGGCATGCAATTAATAATAAAAAATATCGTTCCGAAATTCATATTTTTCATGGTGTCTGCCGTTATACTGTCAACTGTGGCTCTCCGAAATTTAATTTCGAGAAAAAAAAATGCACCAAATGATTGTGACATGTGAGCAGGACTGTTTCAGTTTATTTAAAGTAAATACTTAATGTTATACGGACTATTACATGTAGGTAATCAATTCTTGCATTTTGAAGAACAATCCCATATCGAAGATGAATATATATGCCCAATGACATACCCGAAAAACAATAAAACTCGGTTTAGAAAATAGGAAGGCGCTACGCCCCTTTATATTTCATTTATGGCTCTTTATTAAAAAAAAAGTAAAAGAACGCTTACATCATTTACGAATAATGAACGTTTTAGGCAGTTTTGATGCAAGCCTTCAGGGGATTGGACCAACGTTTCCGGGTGACCTCATTTCCCAAACCTGAAATAGAGTATCAATAGGTATATCGGATACCCTGCTCGTGAGCCACGATTTCGGTGCATCAAATGCTGCTGGTCACATAAAATAGATCAAAAATGTTCATAAATCCTAGCCCTCAATTTTAAGGATATTCCTTTGAAGAACATAGATCTAAAGAAAGTCCAACTCTGGAAGTCATGCAGCATAAAATGGAGGCATTTATGATCTAAACGCCGACTTTGCAACACTATAAAAAGTGTGCTCACTCATTTCCTTCGCTTGTTTCAGGATTAACCAGTGCTATATCTGTGTCTGTTTCAGGAGAGAAGCCGTATCTGTGCTCGTGGGAGAGCTGCAACTGGAGCTTCGCCCGCTCCGACGAGCTGACCAGGCACATTCGCAAGCACACCGGCGCCAAGCCGTTCGTGTGCAAGACGTGCCACCGCGCCTTCGGCCGTTCCGACCACCTGGCACTGCACAGGAAACGGCACGAGCCCAAGTCCAAGAAGTAAGCCGTGAGCTGGCCGGCGGGCCGTGTCCGTGTGCCGGCCTCCGCCGCTGGCCGGGCTGAGAGGCCGGCGCCGACCGGACCGGACCGGCCGCCGCGAACCGATCTGAACTGAGCTGGAGAACGAGCGAGCGGGCGTCGCTCGCGGCGCGGGCCGCCCGCGCCACTGCAAGTGTTTAGGTTTAGTCGTTCGAAGCGTGCCATTGTTTACGCTCGACCTCGAGGCCTATACCGGCCTCGGACTTGTCGCATGGTAGCCGCACCAGACTCGCTATTTTTTACTTCGATCCAGCTGGTCTGGTTACTGTCGCTGTGAGGGGGACATGGATCCAGCCAGTCTGGTGGCCTTTGACGCGGCGCGGGCGCCGGGCGTCACACGAGTGTTCTAATGTCATGTACGAGCCATTTGGGTGGGATGTTGTCGGGTGTAGCACGTGCAAAACTAGCGAATCAAAAGTTTGCGGGGCGCTGATGGCAGCGGGGCTGTGCAGAGTGTTCTCGGAACCGGCCCGGCGTCGCAGCGCGGCGTGACGTCGGCGTCGGCCGCGGCTGGCCGCTGCAGCTGCAGCCTTGGCCGGCCGCCCAGCGCCGGCTGATTGTGCCGCTCGCCAACCGTGCAGCGGCCGCCGACGGCGCCTGTCTCACTCCCGTGGCCTCCCGTGTCCCTCACGTGTCCTTCCGGTGACCCTGCGTCCGTGTCCCTCCCGTGTCCGGCGTCCGTGTCCCCTCGTGTCCGGCGTCCGTGTCCCTCCTCGTCCCTCCCGTGTCTATCTGTGTCCGGTGTCCGTACCCGGTGTCCGGTGTCCGTGTCCGGTGTCCGTGTCCCTCTCTGTCTGTCTTAGTGTGTCCTTCTGGCGTCCGTTGTCGGTATTCCTCCCATGTTTCGTGTCCGTGACCTTCCCGTGTCTAGTGTTGTCCGTGCCTTCATAGTGCAAAATTGATGACTCTCATCTGACGACTTTTCGGAATGACCTGGCGCTTCTCTTTGCTCACTGAAGCTTATGTGCCTTAATTAATAATCAAACTATGGTGCAGAAATTAATTATTCAGCACTAGTTATTTACGGTGTTCGGCGATTGGCGTAAGAATAGTTTACGATTAGTGGATTTTCAGAGGCGTATTTAATGAGGGACTAAGGAGGTCATGGCACAATCGAGCGTTGGAATGAATCTGTTTTCCACGGACATATTTTGGTTGGTAGATCTTGTGATAACCATGACTTAGATATCTAAGCAGCGAACGCAGTTACAAAATACCTGCAGGAAAGAGGAGTTGACTCAAGTCATTTGCTCTTCTCATGAAATAGCGACGGTCTGATTCTTAACCTTCGGCTGGCCGGAAGGCTTTTACCTGCTAGTACAGTTAAGTTATATAGATATAGAGCGTACACACGATGGTGAGATAATCGGAAACAAGAAACTCTTAAATCTTGAAGCCATGTTCTCTGGACTTCTTGGGCCCCGGTCGACATACACTCTACACACAGGCGTTTACCCATTTTATAGACGTGTCATCATGTGGCCATACGGCGATGCATCGTAAAGGCGATTAGTACGATGGAAGTTGCTGGCCGTTCATGGCTGCCAGCTCTTCTTAGTGAACCCCTCGGGTGTCACTGGTACCCGCACTGGCCATTTCACCCGGCGCTGTACTACCCGGTACGAGCTTTATATCAGCCAGCCCCGCGTTGATGGGCTTCTAATACCAGTAACCCTGAGCTCTTACTGTAATAATCCTAACATATTGTCTGGCTGATCGATAAATACGCATCGCAGTCGGCAGTCGCAATGGCCGGCGTGCGATTTATTATTCGCGCTGGCGCACTCCGCTTAGGCTGGTGGTCGGGGGCGCTGGGCTGCTGACGTGTGCAGAGCGCCGGTCGGGAAGATCGCGCCGAGCCGCGGCGTCATGGCTCGGCCCATGGCGGGCTGGCCTGGGACGGCTCGAAACACCGCAGGGCAAGTTTTCTCTGCCGTTTGGTCGCGGCCCAGATGGCGCCAGCTGAAAGAGGGCATCTGCCGGCCCCACAAGCCGAGCGGTCGGCGGGCCGGACTGGCCGACCGACTGGACTAGCCATGTCCTCAGCCGAGAGCAGGACAGGACGGCCGCGGCGGCGCGACGCCGGTCCATGGCGCCAAAAACTGACCGGATGGCGGCGCACAGCCTTCTGACAGGGCAGAGTTGGAGTCGGTGGTCCGCCATTATTTAATTTCCAAGTATTTTATCAATTCCAAAGCGAGGACGCCCCGTAAACATTGGGTCGGCATTGGGTGGATGTTCCCTCATTTCTAGGGACAGACCCAAGACACATAACAATGGAATAAGCTCTTTATTAATTTCAGACATCGTGACGACACAATTCAGCTCGGCAGCTCTTCCAGAATCTCATTTCTCAGTAGGGAAAACGACTGCCAGAGTCATATTTTATTGGTCAGATATTCTAACTCTTCTAAGAGATATGCAAGGGTTGATATAACACATTTAATTGAGAACGGTTGCCAATCTATTTTAGTTTTCCCCCAAGCCTCCTTGTCTGCCTTCAATTCCTTTGGTTTCTGCCTGCACCGCTGCCCACTCTCCATGACACACCGCGCCACCGGCCGAGTGGAGACGGTGGCCTTGGAGCCGGCGGGCCGCGGCGGCGCGCGCGCTGCTCCGCGCCGGCCCGGCGGGGGCGCTGCTGATCCGGCGCGGCGCCACCGGCCGGCCGACGCCGGGCGCCGCGCCGCCGCCGGTCCTGGATGGATCAGCCGGCTCGGGCCGAGGCGCCGCTCGTCTCCCGTGGCTCTACTGGTTTGACCAGATGTATCCATGTAGCGCCGTTAATCTCTTGGACTATTCGGCTTGTGGAGACTGATCTCAAAGCTTGCGGGTACCAACGGCTCCAGGCTTCTCTGCACATCTTACCCAAGCTGCGCAGCCCTTGTGTTCAAAATTATCTCACAAAATTAAGTGCTCTGAAAAGGCACCCAACGCATCGAAATTCAGAAGGACAGTTTGGTGGCTTCGTATTTGCGTTGCGATTATACCATCATCAACTGTAGCCCGTATACTCGTAGATGAGAGATCAATGCGATGTTTACTGCTGAACAATGCTAAATTGTTATTGCAATAAGTACCTATAGGTGAAACGTCAGTTTCAGAGCATGAAATGTCAAAGCACGAGTGGCTAATCATGTTCATATGTATTCGATTGTTGTGAAAAACCTACCGTATCTTTTAAATTTAACCCTTTCCGAATGCGCTCTGTCCGATTGCTTTACTCGTATCGATCTGTGTTTGATTCGCAAAATTACTGCGAAGTGTATCGTCTTGCCTAGCCCATTGCTTCCAAGTTTCTCTTTAGTCTTTGCGTTTTTTTCTGAAACCGCAAGCTTGTGCACGGGCTCCACGGCTTTACAAGTGTCTGTTACACCGTTACTAGGGCTCTTAAGATGTGGCTTCGAGAGCAGTGAGATTTTTTTTAGGTTTGACGGTGAGGTGTCAAACCGTCGGATTCGACCTTCGAATGCTTTTTTATTTGTTAGTTAAGATAAGAACTGCTGGGCGGTCGGTTGGGTTTTGTCTGAACAGTCCACTAGGTTAAGACTTTTCTATCGGCTGGTCTGGGACTGTCAGTTGAACGGGGCTTTAGTAGACATAAAATTAACAGTTATGTTCACTATGCTCCACTTGCACTTCAGGTGCGCAGCCTTTGCAACTGACGGCTAGCAGCCGTTTACTGATAAGGAACTGTAAATGTTCAATGTTTATTTTTAAGTGAGCTGTATTGCTTTTTGGACTAGCCTACATCGTCAATGGACTCGTTTTATGATGTGCTGATGGCAAAGCTTTGGGGGCGGTGCTAACGCTGTAGTGAAGTGTGACGGAGTTCCAAATGAGCTTCTTCAGTGAATAGTACGGTATTCACCCGGAGGGCGGAGCTGACACCTTTCTTTTGCGGGCTGCTTATTGCCATTAGTACTGCTCAGACATAAAGCGCAACTGGCGTTGGGTGTCGGTGGATATAAATGAAGTGCGTTACAAGTGTTTTATAAATACGGTGGATTCCGACTCATCCGTCCAAGATCCGCGGCCTGGAAGATGACCAAACAAAACAGCTTGCTGAAGTCGGATGCTGGTGGTTGTTTAACTTGCTCGCTGGTCGGCAATAAAAGTGAACGCCTGTCTGACATCACCTAAGGGCATGCGATGGGTCATCCACATACTATTTTTGGTGCTCTTCTAATACACATTTTGAGGTAAAGCACCTTTTTTTTAATGCCTTAATGAACGAGGGGCAGGGGCTGAGCTGACAAAAAGAGCGTCGTCATCTGACTGCGCGCTGAACCCTTGTGATTCTTCCGCGGCTGCAGGCCACCACAACAGAATGCCTAGCATTCATTTCAAAAGGTCACACACAGATGCACACGGAAGTCACAAATGATACATATGGGAAGACAAGCGGCGAATCTTGGGGAGGGTATGGGTCCATCTCGTGACTACTACCTAGCAAAACTCCGAACTAATTATTCTACCCATAACAACCGGGTAATTAGCACCCCCCCCCCACACACACACACCAACCTACTCCGATTAACAATTGTTAGCTCAAAAACTGTGGCCAATACTCCCACTTAACAACTTTTTGTACCGTAACATATTAGCTATTAGGTCAGTACCTAAAACCATCCTCCCGCTCCCCCCCCCAAAAAAAAACGCAAGGTTAGATATATTTAGATAAATCCCCATGGGAGTGACTGCATAAAATTAACTCATATACAAGACAAGACGCAAAGGCATTGTGAGTGTATAACTATAGGTAGTCATAAATGTAGGTCCACGACACGGATATCGAATGAAAGGACGTTTGCTTGTTTTGTTGGGTTAGGATCTTTCGGTCCAATGAGACCATTGCAGAGCCGGAAGAATGATAGGAATTAGGGTGAGCCATTGGTCTGGGCGAGTAGCCTGGTGACTCGTCGGGGCTGAGCCCATCGCGAGTACAGGCCACCAAGCCCCCTGACGGTTACCGGCCCGCACCCGGCTGTGTGGACCTGCTCTTCGGGTGAAGCTATCTGCATGGGATAAAGTTCACGCCCGTCCAGTCCGGAACAGGGGGTGGAGGCGTGGCGAAGGATTCTACTATCTTGAGGATAGAAACGACGGAACGGAGAGTGAGAAGGTGAATATAAAAACAATTAAACTACACAAAACAAATTTTTCAATTTCACTACCGTGCCGCTGTGCAGCATTAGAGCTAGGTCCCGTGTTCGCGGCGCCTGAATGATACTGTTCCGCAGTGATGGGCGGGTATATTTTAATCCTCGTTTCGCCCCTAGATAGATTTAATAAAACGCCTGTAGTTATGCTGAGCCGCAATGATCCTCTATAAACGTGTCCTAATCCAATGATCCTCTAGTAAAACGCCTGCCAATATGCTGTGCCGCAACAATCAGGCATTTCAGGCATTTGCATTTCACCCTAGATGGCAGCAGCAAAACGCCTGCAGATATGCTGTGCCGCAGTGCTCAGAGTCTTCTACTAGCGCCCCTAGATGGCAGCAGTAAAACGCCTGCAGATATGCTGTGCCGCAATGCACAGAGCATTCTCATTCCGCCCCTAGATGGCAGCAGTAAAACGCCTGCAGTTATACTGTGCCGCAATGATTGAAAGCTTCACTTGTGGCCCCTAGATGGCAGTAACAAAGCGCCTGCAAGTATACTGTAGTTCTCTATATACCGTGTATGCTGTGCTGCTGCAGTACCTACTGTACCTAATCATTTACCCTCGAAAGTCGAAAGGGCAGAGGGGCGGGCCTGCTGATCGGTAAACAGCCATATTCTGATATTCGGAATCGGATGCGGCTGATTATGAAGTCTAGCATAGAAAAAAAAACATGTATTCAACTTTTTAACAAAAATTCGATTCAACAATACAACAACAGACCCGACATTTAGCTGACAATTGTAGGTAGTAGGGGCGATGTCGTAGGGGCGTAGGTAGTAGCGTAGGTAGCGTAGCGTAGGTTTACATGTTATCTGTAAGAATCTTGGGTTTACATAGCCTTGGGAAGTAGGTAGCTACTCACGCGGATAACTGTCTAAACTGTCCAGCACGCATGTTCAGTGATGGGTCAGCTTCACGTTCCGCTGAACTGCTGAAGTAGGGATCAAACGGGCAAAACGACTCCAACGACTAGCATTGGAGAGAAACAGGAAGTTTCCCTTTACATGATATGGTGGCTGCTGCAGATTGGTATTGTTTCCCCTGTCTGTGGTATCTGTATTAAGTACTTAATTAAGAAGCAAATTGAAGAAACTTTGACCACAAGTTGAAAGTAAATTAAAATTCACGTAAAATTATACAATAATACAAAAGAAAGCATATAAATAGATGCATTTTCAATAAAAAAATAGTACCTAGTACCACGTGATGATTCGACAACTTTATTGTTATCGTAAGTCACCGCGGGACGCGGGTGAGCCGCGCATCGTGTGTTTTGATTGATACTTTGTAATAGTTTGGCCTGAAGGGCGCTTATTTAGCAATTAGCGCATAAAAAGCATTGAGAAGGTGAGGTAGGGAAGCATTTCGATTTTAGATGAACAGTTGATCGATGAGACTGAGCCCGTTTCGCGATGTAACCCAAACCTGCCTTTTGATCCGCGCCGCAAATGTCAATTTTGCGCTATTAGCATCGCGACGCAAACTTAAAAGCGAAAATACCAAAGCTTAACTCGTTTTACAGGTTTTGTTATCACTACATCAATGCTCTGAAATTTTCAAAATTAAGATTCAAATGATATGTCGCATTTTTGTAAGCAAATGTAGTATAAGAAATGACTTGTAATTGCATCCTGAAGTTTTACTGTTTTCTGTAGCTTGTCCTAAGATGCAAGACTAGTAGTGCATTTTTTTTTTTGGGTGGACATGAAAAGCAGGTACCAGTGTGCATTTTCATGCACCATTTCAATTTGGATTCAGTCCTGCATCCTGCCTTTGTCACTTTAAACAAAAATAGGTTTCATATTTCATGATATAGTTTAAAACTGCATGCAAGCTAAGGCACCCATCTGCTTTTGCTTTCGATCATTTTTTTGGTTCAATCCATGATCCAAGTAGGTATATAAGATCAACATAAGACCATTGTTCAAGGACTTATGTTGATGGCATCACTAGGCACCTGAATATTAGAAATTGTAACAGATTATCCTTACAAATATACAAGCTACCTCTTTTTAACATGCCAAAGCTGTTGGTTTGGCTAACTGCCACTTGGTTTAGTCAGCCAAACCAAACTAAACCAAGCAATAGAAAATATATTGAACTACACTTCTAAAATCTAACCTACATCTAATGAGTAGGTATCTAACATACACATGTATTAAAGCCAATACTTCTTTCTTCGTACCTACAAGCTGTCATTGCTATTTCAATCCTTCCCTTCTGCATCTCAAAATATTCACTTTAGTAGTACTTGCTTTGTTTTTAGAGCTTGTATTGTAATAAGCCTGAACAGGAAGTGAAGACATTTGCCTGTTGTCAAGTGCATTTGATGAGCAACAGGAATTTTTATGGTAGAGGGCACCTGTATTAGTGCTTTGGTAATGTGCTGTTGAAAGTTGACTGTTGAGAAGACCAGAACTGAAATCAGATGTATATCAATGATTTCTAATTTTACATGATATTGTAAACATAGTGCACAACATTTATAATTTCCTTCTAGCAAGAGCTCAAAACAGGTTTTATGACATTGTAAGTTGCAGTTTTTATATGCTTTTTATGGGTGCCTAGCAGACAGCTGTTAACATTAATGTTAGGAGCTGATGAGCTGAAACCAGAGCAGTGTTAGGAGCTGATGCTTTTATGTGCTGTGTAACAACAGATTCCTTCCTGCTAATATGCGATGCTATTGGCTTTTTGATTGTTTTTCCATATTTTTTTATGCACAAATTTCCCAAAATTCAGTGTTGCACTCCAGTGGAAAGATTGATGCTGACTCGTACGTAGGTGGCGCCAGCAGTATCGATAATGTGAAACACAGCTTCTGGATTCAGTCACCAGGCGGCAGCACCTTTCTCTGGCCCTTCCTTAGTTTCGAGGCTTCCTAGCTAGCACTGCCTGTGTTAGCAAGCTTCGAAACAATCCTGCTGTCTTGGCTACTATTAATGGCAAGATATCGGCACAGGGCGCCACCAGCAATACTGATAGCTTACTGACATTAACAACTAATGACACCGACAGTAACTTCTACCACGTTTGATTTTCTATGTTTTCTATTCATTCTGTTTCAGAACTGTTGGATGTGATAAAGAACAGGAGCAGCTGTCACGTTTTGGCTGGGGGCCACAGCTTTGCCATGTCATCTCTACAGAAACAATTGCAAAAGATGAAGTGTCCTACACTTCCACCAGTTGGGCCCAGCTCATCTCGTAGCAGGTTTGTTGCATAACGGAAGCTTGTATAAAAAGCTGCCTATTCGTTAGAACTGCGTTTTTTATGTACCCGTCTGGTTGTCTGCACCGTAAGTCTAGAAGACAGTTATACTGTGAGTAGGTTTTGACATAAAATGGCGTTTTAGAGAAAGCGAGCAGGTTTCTATAAAAAAATAGTGTTTTAAATATACTGTGAACTGTTAAGGGTTCCAGTTGGTTCAACTGCACTTTTAATTAGTGGAAAAACGAAATTCATTCTACGGTCTCAGAGCTTTGATATCTTTGACAAAGGGTCAGGTCAAGTCAGTTCGGGCTGATGAGTTTGTATGTGTAATTTATAGTTATATCGCCCGCCCTCAGGCGACAGGCGCGTGACCTGACCCCTGCCACGTGGCAGCGGTACTTCGCCAGCGCCCAGGAGGTTCGGTTGGAGAGCGGAGACGTGTTCCACGTGTACCGCGCCGGCAGCGCTGGCCCGCTGCTGGTGCTGCTGCACGGCGGCGGCTACAGCGGCCTCACCTGGTCCCTCTTCACGGTCAGTTCAGGGTCAGTTGGTCAGATCGGCAGGTCAGGGTCATCGTCAGTTCGTCAGTCTGTATGCGACACGTCTTGTAGATGATTGTTAATTTTTTTTTTCAAGATCTTGTCTGTAATAACTAGGCTTGATATGCAGTGATTCTCTGTTGTTCTCATATTTATGGGCGAAGTGTTGCAACTCATAAGCTGAAATCTCATCATAAACGGCTAGTGCTGCTTATTTTATCGATGTACTATTTATAGAAAGAACTGTGAAATAAAATCTGGGCAATGTCGTTTGCACCGTATCTTTTGCACTGTATCAGACCGTCGCCTGGCTGTGCTGGGTTTTCAGGAGGAGATCATGTCGCGAGTGGAGTGCCAGGTGCTGGCGATTGACCTGCGTGGTCACGGGGAGACGGCCACAGCGGACGAACACGATCTGTCCATGGAGCGTCTCGTCAGGTGGGACCGACTAGCCGGGATGGAGCTAGGTTAGAGCTGTATCCAAACTGTAATGTCGCATACTTGACGCTGGTAGATGGCGTAAGCGTCGGTAAGACCATTCGCTTTAACCGTCTAGGGGAGAGTGGGGTAATTTGGCCGCTTTTTTTAGAAAACGATGTAACTAAAAATCGACAACACATTTCTGCATTTTCTCAACGCTGACAGGTGTGGCATACATTTTACTTTCTTGGACAGTAAACTTGAAATGATTGAGTAACTACTTATATTGAAATTGTGGCGTATTACGATGGTCTGCAAAGCGGCCAAATTGCCCCACTAGCAGGGTTATTTGGCCGGGGGTGTGGGGCAATTTGGCCGGTGTTAGTTTGAGGCCATGATTTTTGTTATAGGCGAGTCAGCTTCACATTCAGCAATGATGCGTGTCCTACGACGCATTTGAAGCATTTTGGAGGTTGACTCAGCCGTCACAGGGGTCGAAAAGTCAAAATTAGCGGCTCTAGATGCGATGACAGTTTTTTACGAATAACTTTTGAAGTAATCAAGGTAGGCCAAAACTAAAAACACCATCGTAATTCTCTCGTCATTCCGCATCGAAACATGTATGTGTTGACCTCGAGAGGTCAAGGTCAAGGTCAAGGTTGGCTTCAGGTCACGTTACCTCAGGTCGCTTGATCTCAAGGTTACGTGAGTTCAAGGTCATCATGTATATCATTCGATGCGCCTTGACGAGCTGAACACAATGAGACCATTTGCGCGGCTGTATCTGTTTTCGGTAAGTATTTATTAGCAAAAAAGCGTTAGGTAACCTTTGATGACGTCACATGCCCTTACAGCTGTCCAATAGGAAATATGGCATCGAGGTAGTCAAAGTTGGTCATGAATTATGTCTTTTATGGTATAATTGACCATGACAACTCGGCCGTCCCAGCATAGTGACTCTGAGCGCACCGGCCAAGTTGCCCCGCTAGTCCCGGCCAAATAACAACCCCACATTGCCATTCTGAAAATTTTGTCTATGAAGTCGTCATGGCTGTACAGAACTAGATGAAATTGCTCTTGGAACCGCTGAACACCCTAAAAAATAGCGCTATAATGTTTTAATTCGTTTACAGCCCAAATACTACATGTTATACAAATTTTTAAACGGAAGTAAAAGTTACCATTTTCTAACGTAATTCACCTTTTATTAATTTTGAATAAAACTAAGAGGGGGAAAGTTTTGACATTTGTTCTCGAGCTAGTTCTGCCGATGACAAAGGAATAGAGACTAAAGTTATTTCATTCACTTTTATCAGCTTTCGTACAGGTGGGGGCGGCCAATTTACACCACCGGCCAAATTACCCCACTCTCCCCTACTGTTTTTCCCGGCTTCTGCGTGCCGCCGGGTCGGAGGATATTTTCAACTGATCTGCTGCCCTCTGTGCGCGCTGTGTGATAGTTACCGATTGTCCCTGTGTTCCAGTGACGTAAACGGCGTCATGTGTGCCCTTTTCGGCTCGGACGCGCCACCTACCGTGCTGGTCGGTCACAGTATGGGCGGTGCGCTGGCCGTGCACACGGCTCACGCCTGGAGCGCCGGGCCGCTGGTGGGCCTGGTTGTCATTGACGTGGTCGAGGGCACGGCGCTGGACGCCCTCTCTGCCATGCACACGTTCCTGCGCGGGAGGCCGGACCACTTTCGGTCGGTGCAGAACGCCATCGAGTGGTGGTGAGTACCGGACAAAGTTGAGTAGGAGACACTGTCTGTCTTGTCAGCGTCGACTCGGGTGGCAAACCTTATTTCATTGATGATCATTCATATGTCAATTTCCCAAGCGAATGGTTCATATTTCTTATGTTTTGGGCATTAAGGTGTTCGAAAATGCAGTATGTTGGTGCTTGACAGTCTGCCTTCATTTCAGCCTGAAGTCTGGAGCAGTGAGGAACTCAGAATCGGCTCGGGTCTCCGTCCCAGGACAACTCAAAAAGTAAGATCTCATGACACTGTAAGATCTCTTACCTGACAATATTTTACCAGTGTCGGAGCGATATTTGCTGGGCGCCATAGGCGGAGTGGCGATAGGTGGCGTTTGCTGTGTTCGGTGACCGACTCATGCACGTCCTGGAGTTTGCCGTGCTGCCTTTGACAATCACATGTCCACGGGTTCTTTCATCTATGATATGTCTCTCTGAACTGCGCAATGCCGACACACGATTGCCTGACGACACTGTTCTGCCGTCGCCTCCAGCCTGCGGACGGGAGTGCCCGCCACCCGTGACATAGCCTCCGGGCTGGCCTCGGCGGGCGGCGGCTCACCGACTGCGGGCGGGGCCCATCCTCCGGCCGACACAATCGCTGAGGAGGAGGAGGGTCAGGAGAAGGATCAGGAGTCGGCCGAGCAGCAGACCGTGGCCCACTCGCCACCGTCACCGACTGCAGACCAGGTGAGGCGCGGGAGACAGGAAGGGTTTCTGTTTGTACCTACTCGTTTGACACAACTGTGGGGTATGCTTATCCGTACATAGGATGTTTCAACAATGGGGTTTCTCTTGATGGTATCATGTGGAGTTGGTGAAATAGCAAGTTAACGAGGACTTAGCGCGATTTCTTTTGTATTTCTCGTACGATTTCTTGTGGAGTAAAGTCCTCGTTAACTCGCTACAATGGAGTTTACTTAGAAGCTCTGGCGACTGATTCCCGTTTGGTAGGTAGTAGCATCCCTTTGACAATAAGATGCATGTCATGGATCTTGTTTTATTTTCCATTATCCATGAGAATACTTTTAGCTTTGATTCCTTTCGAAAATTTGCAATCCGTGCAGAGGTCCTGGTATGCAGGACTGTAAATCACATCCTAGGAACATGTGACATTCCAAACGACCATCGAAGCCAGGCTAATTGGTTCGTATTCCAGACCCCGTCTAGCAGCTCGCGACCGTCGCGAGATGGTTAGAGCGAAAGCTATAATCGGATATACCGGAATAATTTGCTGACGCACATTCAATTGGCGATTTCATGGCGCTTTCCTTACGTAACGGGTGAAAAGCGCTAGAGAGCCGTTCATAGACCGGTCGCGGCGAACCCCGATGTGGCCCCGCAGTGTGGGATGTCGTTAATTATTGGCTTAGCATATGCGAGTAGGCACTGGCGAACTTGCCGGGTGAAACGCTCCTGGTGTTTCAAGCAGCATCACTGTTGTAAGAGGTTAGCATAGTACCGTTATATTTAACGGCTCATAGACGAAGGTTTAAACTTTTTGTTTTATTTTATCATTTATGTCGTAAATGTATTTCATCGCTCGTGTAAGGGGTTTTCTTTATTTTTTTTTCTCTAGGTAATCCCTCTAATATTATGATGGTAGAAAATGACCTTATGCTCATGATACAATGAAATGATATTAAAATAAGTCCAAAAAGTATTATGATATATTTCGACTTGCGTCGTCTTCAGAATCGACGCAATTGAAATTTCTCTGGGCCACTGATTTCTTAATCGACCGGATAAGGAAAACAAACTAAAGCAGACTGATTTCTGTACCAGAATTCTGTACTGGCACAGAGCCATCGTGGTTGCCTGAGGGAATGTGTCATCCTGGACAGACCTGAGACCCGAACCATCAATGAGATGGTTCGGAGACCCGAACCATCAATGAGACCCGACTAACCATCATAATATTCATAATTATGCTCAAACTAGCCATAGCTCACCTCCAACAAATAATCCCTCTAAGATTAGGCTTGCTCTGACTGACCGTTTTGTCTCCCCTCAGCCGGTGTACACGTGGCGGATAGACCTGGCGTCCACGGAGCCGCACTGGCAGGGCTGGTTCCGCGGACTGTCGCCGCTCTTCCTGTCGGCTCCGGCACCAAAAGTGCTGCTGCTCGCGGGTATCGATCGGCTCGACCGCGAGCTCTCCGTCGGCCAGATGCAGGGTCAGTCTCCGTGGGGTCATGCAGTGGATTTCGGGCTTACCACGTCATCCCAATCCCATCGAGAATAGTGAATTTGGTAAGAGGGCTGTTTTGTTAACAAAACGCTGATCGCTAAGAGTATCGTTTGGAAAAAATATTGTGAGCTGGACTCCTTCGGAAGGCAGCAGTCATCGTTTAAAATTCCCTTTTTTAGGAAGGTGTAGTGCTGGCCCGGTGTTGACTGGTGCCTCAGGCCGCCTACGCCGATATTTTCTTCGCACGAAATGCCTGATCAAATATGTCAGCATCAGGCTGGGTCCGATAACCGAATAGGAACGGAATCCGATACAGGAAGTTTTCCATGTCACTTGGGTCCCATATCACGGCACGCCGCTAGTGGCCTGTGCCATGCCGGTCGCTCACCCCTCTTCTCTGTTCCTCCAGGGAAGTTCCAGATTCAGGTGGTGCCTCGCTCAGGACACGTGGTCCACGAGGACGTACCGGACAGGGTGGCCGGCATCGTAGCCACCTTCCTCATCCGGCAGCGGCTAACACACGCCCTCGATGGCTTCCAGACGTGAGTGTTACATCTCGTACGTCATCAACCATGTCATGTCAAATACGCGTTGTTGATGAATGGATTGAGTTATACGCTACTCGAGAAAAGCTGGATGACGGATGGGTTAGTTTTTCCGTAGATTAGTTTTTGGTCGCACTTATCTGTATACCACCCGCCCAGAATATCGCGGTTCGGCATTTTCCAACGTTGGCTTTTTACAATTTTAAGAACAAAGACATATTTTAGTTCTGGATAATCTGTGATGCCCAGCTGTGGCTAAATTCGTTATTCGGCTGGATTTGGACAAGACAGGCGGTAGCCAAACGCTCCTATTTTTCTTTTTACTCCTCACATGCTTAATTCAATCCGCATAAACGGTTTTGATACGCATAATTTGTATGCATCATTTATGTGATAAAATTATTCGTACATAGCTTGTTTATAATCCGTTTAAACACTTGAACACTAACCAGTTTCTTGTTTTTACAATCATGAATGTTTTAATGCTATTTAACGTCATATTGAAGAGATGTGAGTTTTTATACCAATATTATCGCGGATCCCTTTAGCCATAAACATATAAGTAAAAGTTTTCCACTTCGTTTTTGGCAGGATACCCCCTGGATGCTGATTCACTGCACTTTCAAGTATTTCTTCAGAGGCTACGAAAGGGCGATCTTTGGGTCGATTCGAATCGGGTAGCGAAAGTTGCCAACTGCCCATTCAAGCGACAGTGTGTCACTAAGTGATGATTCGGGAAGTTGACTGGCAACATAGTGATCGTTTAGCCATATGTTTTGCTTCCTTTGTTTTTCGTTTTAACCCGCCTTTCACTATCCGATTGATCTGCGATTTGGCTGATAGTGGACCTGCGATTTCACTCATCGAGTGTTCTTCTCGTTTAGTTGCAATCTTAAGTATTACCCAATTAAGATCCATGGCGATTGGTTCAGCTGTCACTTTTGCACGGGTAGTGATGCCGGGTACTCACATACGAGCGGTGTTTGTGCTATTCTCTATCCATTATAATGAAATAGAAGAGGGTGTCTTGCCATTGAATGTTCTTCCAGATAGGCACAGGAAGCATCGATCAATATAGGCAGCTGCTGATTATGTTTGATTATTTCTCTTTCTTGATGTATTTTTATCTTTTGGTGGCATTACTTGCTTCCATGTATTCACTGCGACTTATCTATCGCCTCATATACATGCAGCATACTATCTGTTGCAGGAAGATTACGAAACACTGACCTTGTGTCGGCCGTACTTTTAGCTAAAAATACAAAAGAACAACTGGATGTGTTACAAGTAAATCAAACAAAATTACTGAAAATGTTGAAAAAGTAACGTTCACAAAAAAGTGAAATGGTTCACAGTACAGTAAGTAGGTAGTTGACGTCGGAGAACAGTGAATGAGTCAAGCGTGCCAGCAATGTGCAGCCCCTATGCTGTGCACTTCACACACTTTGTGGGGTGACAGTTTCTACCCATGTAGATAATTGGGTATTGTGATGTAGTGATGGCATTGTAGATGTGTTGTGAATATGTGAATATAACGCTGTGTTATAAGTGATGTGAAACTGTGCAGATGTGAGTGCCGGTAATTGTAAATTTCACCTGCCAATGGCGACCAAAGCCGGGTGCTATTGCCATTTGATGACCTGTTGATAATGTGTCGTGATACGGTGTATTATTAACTCACTCAATACATTAAGCAAATATGCATATTACCTCTGTCTACGGACCTTAGTATTGGTATGCAGGGCCTGTGGAAATTAGAAGAGAAAAGTTGGTAGCTGACCATCTCAGCAATTTCGGTGTCCAGCAACCCAACTCATCATCATCAAATATAGAAAAATACCCAACGGTTCGAAGCGGATCTGCAGCGGCGACTTTCTGTTTGGTTTGTAGCTTTTTCCACGGAGAGTTGCGTCAGTTCCGCTCCTACTCGTATGATGCAACGATGCAGCTCGACCCTCGCTATTGTGTGAACTACCGGTAGGTGCACGTGGATCAAATACAAGATGATTTCAATCAGCTCAGTGTGTAGAGCTGCGCAGCTCGAGTACTGCAGAGTGCAGAATCCGGTAAAGCAGGCTCTGACTGTGATGAGCGGAGCGAATTAGAGACCCTCTGCACCGTCCTCTCGGTCGCCGTCGTGGCTTCGTCTGACCTCCCGCTGTGTCTGGGACTGCCCCCTGTCGACCGTGACCGGGCGCCGCGGCTGGCTGGTGACCCTCGGTCGCGGCGCCGATCCGGCCGAGCGTGAGGTCACGGTCTGCCGCGAGGGCGGCTTCGAACGGTCTCAGACGGCGTGGTGAACCTTGGTAGCTCCACCGACCGGCGAACCGGCTACATGGGTGCTGAGAAGTGTGTGCTCCTGGTGAAAGATCATCGGAACAATGGTTATCATTCATTCTCATTGATCTTTTTGTATTTCTCCTGGATGTGATCTTTTTAATTGTCATTCTGGATGGTGGGTAAATACTTCACTGAATAATATTGTCAAGTCACTCAAACAATTGTAAGCTCACCCGAACAGAATAGGTCACAGTGACGTAAACCTCTTGCGTCACTGGGGTGTGGTAAGCTAAGCACAGCGACTGACCTCTACGTCACCACACCATACCAAGTGTGACATTCCTATTAGTGCGTTTAATAATAAACTCGCACAAAAGGTGAGCTGAGGCCAGTTTTACCAAAAAATACCAGCCGGCCGCCGAAATAAAATATCCAGCCGAAAAAATAGCCGCCACACAGCCACGAGTTTCACCAACAAAAAAATTCCAGCCGACTTCGGCCGGAAATATTTGTCGCCGGCAGTCAGCTGATATTTTTATATCGATATATGGTCAAGGAGATTGATAAATTATTTAAAACATGTTTTAATTAAATTTAAGCGCGTTTTTTAATGCAAATAGCACAAATACTTAGCAATATTATTATTGGAAAACATTATATATATTTTTAATAGTTGTAACCGCAAAATAGATCATAATAAACTTGCCAATACAAGACCACCAAATTGTAAACCTACGTCATTTATGAAGGTGACGATAGGAAGCGTGCGTTTAAGTGGATCTTTTTTCCTGTCAGCCTATTATATTTCATTTTTTACAATACTTTCAAGTTGCAATTTACCTTTTTGTCTGCTTTTAGTCGCACCTTGTAGAAAATCATCGTGTCGAACGTGCACGCAATGTATGGACCCCCACTCCCACCTTTTATGAGGTGGGGACTATGATAGATGGGACCCGCTCCCGACGGATCCGGGAGTCGCACCTCTTTCCTAGATGTGAAAAGAGTGGGGAAGAAGCGGCAAATATTGTTCCCAGAGGCGCCACCTGAAGCTGGACGGACAGTTCCGCTGCCGAGCGAGTGAACTGCGGTGCTGCGAGGCGGCTTCGCGCGCACTGCATTACACCTACTTCTAGGACCGAGGGCTAAGGATTCGCCAAGGCCTATATAAAGCCTTGTGCCAAGGCGAGTGTCTTACCTCAGGAAGATACCTACCCAGATTAACTGCACCGCGGTCATTGCAGGGCTGAGGGCGGTCGTTCGCCCCACTTCGGCGAGGTGGAGGTCATGCTGCCCGGCTAGGTGGTTTCAGCCGATATGCAGGCCCCGTTTGCCGGGCCCGGTCAAGACGAAGGAACGCCACACAGCAAACAATATAAGCTCCGGCCCCGCTACACTGGTCCGGCTCGTAACAATACCTGCGCTAGCTTCGTCGACCGTCGTTCGACTGCGCCCAGTACCGCTCAGTGGAGAGTCCTGCCGAGCTCATCCACGTGTGCCGAGATCATTCGTTGCGCACGGACACAATCGTCCGACGGAGACCGCTTTACATGATGATCGCGTGGTGACCACCTTTTCGCCGGCTTCCACGCCCAGTCGAGCCGTCCGGCTACGCCCCAACCTAATGATCGCTCTAAGCCTTTCGACTGGTTTGCAAAACTCGGGTCTAATATCGAAGTATTTGGGAGTTATGACACGTTAAAACCGTGTTCATGAACAAATATACATTATGCAACTAAAAACGCCTTACTTACTTTAACTTTTCTAGGCTGATGACAACCTATTCATTGTAATATTTCTAAAATGTAAATAAATCATGAGCGATGAGCATAAAAAGGTGAAAAAAGCGATCAACTAGAAGCTAGTGTGGAAATCCACTGACGTAGGTCGCCTCGTACTGGCGCAGCTCGTACAGCGGCACCGGCGTCTCCCGCACCCGGCCGTCCGCCTTGCCCGCCTGCGCCATCAGCCGCTGGAAATGGCTGCGCTGCCGCTCAAACATTAGCGTGACCGCCTGGCCGGCCCGGCTGACGCGCGCCGTCCGACGCACGCAGTGTGCCTTCAACAGCGCCGAGAGGTCGTACGACACGACCGCGTCCACGGCGTCCACGTCAATACCGCGCGCCATAGCCTCGAGCACACCAGCGCGGCCATCTCAGCTAGCGCGCGCCGCCGCTGGCCCGCCGGCACTGCCCCAGGGAACTCGGCCTCGCGCGCGCCCAGCACCGACAGCGGTAGCTCCAGCTGGTGCGCCGCCTCGTTCCAGTTGACCAACACGAGCGAGCGCCGCCAGTCGGGCTGTCGGAGCAAATTGTGCATCAGCAGCGGCTTCAGCGGCTGCGGCGCCACCACGTTGAACGACTCGCTCAGCTCGGCCGGCGTGGTGAACCTGCCGACGAACTGACCGGACAGTGCGACGGCGGCGGCCGCCGTGCCGGCAGTGTCCCAAAATCATATTTTGGCTTGGGTGTCAGAGGGGAATATTCGTCACAATGTCAGTCAGAAAGGCAGAGAAAGAGGGAAAACAGAGATCATTAGTTTATTTGTGAATTTTGGAGGATGTGGGAGCTGCTTTACCTATAAGATTATTGAATCGAATATGGAGTAGGTAAAAGTTACGCGCAGATGCTCTTTTGGTAGAATAGGGAGTGAAAATTGTTGTGGAAAATTGGATGTGGGAGCGGAAAATTATTTTGATTTGGATGCCCCTTCCCACCCAAACTGGCAGATTTTGGGACACTGCGTGCCGGCCACCAGCAGTCGCGGCTGGAACAGCGACATTCGCTCCAGCTTCTCCGGCCTCCGGGTTCTGTGACAGGGTGGCCAAGAACGGCAGCTTCTGCAGCGGCCGTCAGCCGGCCGGCGATGCAGGGCGGCGGGCCGTGGCCGCCGCCACCCGCTCCACCGCTTTCAGTCAGCCCGTCTCGGCCATCTCGATCACCCGGTCGGCTTCGTCGATCACCAGGTAGCGCAGGTGCGCTAGCGAGAAGCCCTCGGCGCTGGTTATGTGATCCATCAGCCAGCCGGGAGTGCTCACCACCAGGGCTGCGGAGTCGGAGTCGGAGTCGGAGTCGGAGTCGGTCGGAGTCGACAGTTGTGACCGGAGTCGGAGTCGGAGTCGGAGTCGATTTTAGAAACCCGAGCCGGAGTCGGAGTCGGAGTCACCGAAAATCTGTCGACTCCGCAGCCCTGCTAGGTCTGCGGAGTCGGAGTCGGGAGTTGGAGTCGGTCGGAGTCGACAATTCTGCCCGGAGTCGGAGTCGGAGTCGGAGCTGGTTTTTGAAAGCCGGAGTCGGAGTCGGAGTCGGAGTCGCCGAAAATCCATCGACTCCGCAGCCCTGCTCACCACGATCAGCCAGGGAGACCGGGCCGCGCGGCCCCACCGCCACCAGTTGGTGCCCCCCCTCGTGCCACTGTGTCTCCACCCAGCAGCCGGACGCAGAGCGGCGTGTCGGCGTCGTACTGGCGGAACACGGCGGGCACCTGAGCGGGCAGCGCCTGTGTGGGTAGCACAGCTAGCGCACGCACCCGGCGGCCGGCGCACCGCGGCGCCGCGCCTGCACCAGCGGCAGCACGAACGCCAGCGTCTAACCGCGGCCGGCCGGCGCCGAGACGCAGAGGTCGGCCGGTGGCAGCGGCGACTCTGCGGCCGCCAGCAGCTCGGGCAGCACCGTCACCTGCACCAGGAACACCTGTTCGATGCCCTCGGCGGCCAGCCGGGCGCGCAGCTCGGGGCAGAGCGCCGGCAGATTGGCCGGCGCCGGCCGCCGGTCGCCAATCGGCTGCGGGTGCGCCAGCCAGTCGGGCAGCGCACGCGGTGCACGGCCTGTCGGCTCGAGCGCTCCACCTCGTCCAGCACGGTGAAGTCGTCCGCGGCGGCGTCTCCGTCCGACTCGGAGGTGTCCTCACTGTCGTTATTGGCGACGGCGGCTGCCGCTGTGCGCTCAGTCAGGTCGGCCATCACAGCAACACTCGCCGATGATTGGCGTCATCGAAACCGTCGGACGACGGTGGATTTACCACCGTTTTTGCAGCAGAGACTGGAAAAACCTCAGCAATAAACAAGGGAAAACTTCACAACATGCCACAGCCCGCAATTGTGCATATTGTCATTTTATTTCTCACATGACAGAAAATATTGGCTGCTTTATTCTAGGAACTGGCATGAAAAACATAAGCTAAAATCAAGCTAAGTGAATTATTATAGTATTTCAACATGAGACTGGGAAAAAATCCTTGTCACTGTCAACATGACCAGTGTAATGGTAACGGACGGGCTGCATGAACATTTCAGCGCATGATCTGAAAACTCTGTGTGCAGAAATTTCAGCGCTGAGGTAAACAAATAACATTTCGGCCGCAATCTGCCTGGTGCCTCAACAATTTAGCAAAACTAACTCACAATACTTACAGCCAGTTTTAACATGAT